AGGACAATCAGATCATATAATTATTCCTTTTTTATTTTATTTTCTTTACATTCAACAATGCAATATCATAAAACAATTTATTTAACTAGGTAAATCAAGGAAATACTTCTTCATCCATAAAATTTCCTCAGGTCTACAGTTTCAATACATCAGGTCTACAGTTTCAATACAAACATTTATAAACCTTCGAAATTATTTCCCTACTACCTGAAAAATGATCTGGTTATAATTGATTTTTGATAATGATACATGTATGTTGTACCAAGTGAAACAATATCACAATAAATTATCAACTTCATATAAATAGAAGTAGCTTTATTTTCATAACAAAAGCAATCAGTGATCACATGTGTCACCTCATGATGGCCAATTTCATGTTTGGACAAGTTTTGTGACAGACGGACAGTGCACAACTAGACTTGGTACTGATCATTCCTGTAAAGTTTGGATAAAATTGCACCAGTAGTTTATGAGGAGTAGTTCGGACAAGCTTTTGTGTATCTGGCAACATACAGAAAAAAAACACCTTTTTATCAAAGGGCCATAACTCTGACAAAAATCATTGAACCAGAAAATGCTGACAATATGCACAACTAGACTTGGTACTGATCATTCCTGTAAAGTTTGGATAAAATTGCACCAGTAGTTTATGAGGAGTAGTCCCGACAAGCTTTTGTGTATCCGGCAACACACAGAAATTGAGAAAAAACACCTTTTTATCAAAGGGCCATACTTGGCCAAAAATCATTCAACCGGAAAACCTGTGCAATATGCGCAAGGACTTGAGCTACAGATCAATCCTGTAAAGTTTCATTGAAATTGCATTAGTGGTATAAGAGGAGTAGTCCGGACAAACTTTAAAAATAAAAATTATTAAAGGGCCATAACTCTGACAAAAATCATTGAACCGGAAAATGCTGACAATATGCACAACTAAACTTGGTACTGATCATTCCTGTAAAGTTTGGCTGAAATTGCACCAGTAGTTTATGAGGAGTAGTCCGGACAAGTTTTGTGACGGATGGACAGACAGACAGACGGACCGACAGACGACGGAGAAGTGATCCCTCTAGGCACCAGTGGTTTATGAGTAGTCCGGACAAGTTTTGTGACGGACGGACAGACAGACAGACGGACCGACAGACGACAGAGAAGTGATCTCTATATGTCGCCTCTTCTCCGTAGAGGCGACACAAAAAGCCAACATGAAGATTCTGTGGCTTGCCAATGCCACACAATTACTATTTAAACACTGGGTTTTGTGATTTCTGAAAAAAAGATTTCTGACACTCTATGCAAGTCATATAAAATCAAGTGACCCCTGGTGTAAGGACAATTTGGTCATAGAAATAATCCTGGAAAACTGGTGATCAAATAAATATAAAATTATCATGCAAAACAAACAATTGTACATGTATATGACAAATACATGTATATGACAGAGAGCAATCAAGTCTAAAAGCGTATAATTACAAATGTATGAGCACTTCATGCTCATGTGAGACGTAACAGTGAGTTAAACATTATTATGTTAAGATTCAAAGTATAAAACTACAAGAGGTAAAAAATAACATCATGTCACATGATTTATGTATTATTATTCCATATACTCATTACTGTATCATATAAATGTCAGAACATGAGCTGATTCCTTTTAATTATAATTTATGGTGAACAACATACCAGTCATATTATGTTCATGCATGTATGTGCATACAAATAAGTGTCTGTTACATCACAATGTATGTCACAATGTATATGTCCTTATTTACAGTCAGATCAGTGCATTAAATGTATCACGAAATTCAATATAACAAAACATTTCATGCAGCGGTGAGCCATTTGTAAAGTTTCGCTGCTGATGATGGAAATATGTCAAACAGAAAATGAAGCACAAGATAATTATGTCAACTCTTGAGAACAAAATAAAAAATTATTTTGTGACTATAAATATAACCAAATGTTGGTTTTAGTTGTAGCCAACAAAATAAAAGCACAATAAAATAAAAGGCAATAATTATATAGCCAACGACAGTAAAGAAATGCAAACTATTTTCAACTTATTCTTAGTTAAGTGTGAATATTACTCAATGACACAAAAAAGTTTTCTTTGACTAAATCCAATTACTTAGTGGTTTTTTTTCACTCAATTTTGCTTCAACAATAGGACAAAAAATCATGAAGAGTTACTTGAAGATAAGGTACAAATGTAGATGAGAAGAAAACTACATTTGTAGTTTATATTCCTCAGATCATTCTTATTTGAAATATTTGAAATCTGTCTAGAAATCACAAGATCATCAAAATAAACACCCTGAGCAATCTGTTTTTTCTCTCTGTGATTTGATGTGGTAACCTAGTTAGATAAAATTTCAATTAAAACTGCGACCACAGAATTTCTAAAAGCCAAATTGTTGGTAACTGACCAATCTTAATAGCTTTAAAACTAAAACTTGTGTCTATTAGACAAAAAAAGTAATGTATTTAAATTGTATGACTGAATATTTAATCAATTCATCACTTACAATATCATAAGGTTATAGGTATTTGTTGTTTCCCCCTCCCCCTGTAACAGCATTGTTGACTCATTGCAAGCTACTATTTCAACTATCAACTTCTGTATTCACAATTAGCAAATCCATACAAATTGTAAAGCCAAACAATATGACCATAATGGTTCTTTTAGGATCACTTAAAATCTAAGTAACATTACAATGAAATCATTCTACTTTAAACTTTATCTTACAAAAACAGTGGCCAAGCAAATAAGGAGAAGATGTCATTTAAAGCTAATTTCTATTTTTAACTCTGGTAGCCTTCTTGTTCAAAAGACCAAAACTATTAACTTGAGGAATTTATGGGAGACTACCCAATGATCATTGCGGCGTAGTTTCAATGGTTAAGAAAGAGATGTTGTTTATAGGATTTTTTATGTTTAGGTCTGGCTGCCAGCTTGTTCAACAGACCAAAACCATTTGAGCAATTTTTATAGAGGACCACCTTATCATCATTCTTGTATAGTTTTATCACTTTAATTCAAGTAAATGAGAAGGAGATGTTAAGTAAAAAAAACACATTTGTTAAAGATGAAAGACGGACACAGGGTGATCACAATAGCTCAACTTGTACACTTTTTGCTCTAGTGAGTATTACTCTGTGCTCTGGTGAGCTAAAAAAATTAAATTAGAGTTTATCTAGAAATATTCCCAAATATTTGCAAGGTGTCAATCACATGGAAGATGTCACTTGTATAGGTCACACTCTGATGTCACCTGTTATATTTGAAACAGTCTGCTTTGTTTTGAAAATTATCAAAAAAAAATATCATGCAGTTTTGATATGGTACTATGAGCAATGAGCATTTTAAGATAAAACTACCGCTATTTGCCAGTGATACTATAGTATAGTGCAGATAAGACTTGGTACCATTGTTAGTTTATTAATGGTATACCAATAACACTCCTCACCTCTATAAAACAGTATAAATTGTCACCTTAGTGCACATCGTCAGATACCCATGGTTGATTAACATGTAACATAATATGTAATCAACGTAGCTTTTAAACAAGTCATACATCTTGCATCTGTCTTTGTATGTTTTAAGATGTGCCATGTTATTCCATTGTTTATTGAAATAAATCCATCTTTCTACCAATCCCACATTCTACAATTCAGAGCTGCCAATGTCCTTACTGAAGCCAAAGTGGCCCAACAGAGTATACAACATATACAGGGACAACAACTTTGAACAAGGTTGGGTACTATGGTGCATGAGCCCACTGTACACAGTGACAGCTTGATGGGCAGGCTTTTTGCTTTGCATCAACACTACTACAGCCCTTATCAGGGCTACATCTATCTTTAATTCATGATTATTGTCACTGGTCACTGGATTTTTTAGATCTAAATGGCCACTGCACAGTGACCTAAATGTACATGACAGCCAAATCTACTGTTAATGCATTAGATAATTTCCATAAATAACTTTTGCAACTGCATCGTACAGGGAAGTCAAAGGTCTGGACAGTGACATTTTCAGTGTCGTTTCTAGCTGGGCACCGCCATTTTTAATGTAACTTAATGATAATCACCCGGGTATTTCAATAACAGAATAATCACAACTTTTCGCTTAAGATTAATTGTTGAGGTGTTTCGTTTAAAACAGGAAGCTGCATGAAATAACAAATGATTTTTTAAAAAAGAAAATTGTAAAATAAAAAATGAATATAATTCTTTCAGATCTGACTTCCCCATTAATAGACTTTTCTGGACTAGGGCTTTGCCTACTTTCATATTAAAAACTTTAAACCAAACTTTGTTAAGGTGGGTCAAACTTTAAAATATATATACACAAACATAATTAGATATTACAAAAATCTGATTTAGAGTAGGAGTTATCTCTCCGACCAGTACGCATATGATATAGGCCAAACTAATTGTACTGTGCAACGAGATATTGTGCTATTTTCATGTCTGGGCAATATCTCGCCTATAAAAGCAAGATTCTGCCCCAGAACAAAATATCTCAGAATCAAGCTTTGGCACGTCAATATATTTTGACTAGCATATGATATTGATATTTTGCCGATATTCTAGCTGTCAAATGGAAAACATAATGATAAGACTGCTTACATACATTTTAGTTTACATACATTTTGGTTGCTTGTACTATTATATATAATGTCACAGGTTTAGCATATAGGAAAGTCTGCAGTTTGACAAACTTGATATAAATTTTCCCTTGTCAAATAATCTAATTTGTTGTTTGTGGTTTCCTCAGCAACTGCTACATATATGTAATGTATCATAGTGACCGAATAAGAATTACCCAAAGAGTCAATATACAAGGAGTTAATGGTAAGATATTGAAACAATTCGAATCAAACGCACCAATGTGTATGAAAATGTCAATTTCTTGCGAACCGAAACGATCCAATATTCGGGAAAGCTCACTAAATTAAACGTTTTTGACACTATTAAGGACTATAAACAATTATTACCTATGTAAGAACGACTTTAAAGTCGAAAATGTAACTTCAATAAAGTTTGTTTTGTCAAAAATCCATCTAAAATCATAAAAGTTTCTTATTTCCAAATTCTGAATTTCTTACTTCCGGGTCACGGTGTGCTATTTCCAAATTAGGAATTGTTTTATCATCTTATTTTTCTTCAACAGAGATATGGAAAACTATTATTTCTATAAAGATTGTGAAATATTTGAAAATTATTTAAAAATATTAACTTATAAAAAAAACTTTTTGATATCGTCACCCTTCCGAGACCTTGCGCGATGTAAACAAAATGTCGCTTATGTGATGTTGGAGGTGCATATTTTATTCATTAACTAAATCGTCTGTTACAATTTTACACAATCTTGATCAAATCAGCAGTCAAAATTGAAAATTAAGATTGTTTATGACCTAATTCGATGATAAATCATTCTTTTCTTTTTTATTTGTAAAAACATGTAAAACAATGATATGACGAAATTGTGTCGTCTGCATGTCACAAAAGTTAGGGTTTCGGATAAACATTTCGGATAAAGGTATGGGCCGGTATATTTTTTCTAAAATTAAATAACAGTACAAACTGCTAGCATTAGGTTAGGGTTAGTGTTATGGGTTAGGATAAGTTTATAGTTATGGAATATTAGGATTTAATTTTAAAAACATGGATTTTGGTGCGGACAGATTCTGAAATTGCTCCAAATTCTGCAAGACTGCAGAGTGAGAATGCTTAGTCTTAGCAGTCTTACCTGCTTTTGATAGTTAACAGATATTTCAAGTTTGAAGAAAATACCTTTGCAGTGATTTTCCTACATATATAACAGACTCCGAAAAAGGGCCTCTTCCCAATTGAAATTTTCTTTAAAATCATGCAGTTTTCCCAAAAATCTGAACTTAAACCTGCATTTTTCTTCCCAAATTAGCAATTTTAGCAATAATTTTTCCCAAAATCAAGAGGCTAAGGACTCTTCCCAATTAAGCGAGAAAAATCACTGCTTTGAATATTGAAATACCTTTGAATATTGGTTTTTCATATCAATAAATTTTAATCTCCAACAAGGGACCTTTGGCCAGATCTGTTGGTTTACTCAGAAAATTTGTCATATAATTTGTTGGTTCAGATAATAATGATAATCTTGGGTATGTTTTTACGTTTTATGTTGGTCAAAAGCTATACATAGCTTATGTTTTGTAAAATGTTATATATTGAGGGTTCTCGGGGACGCTTATTTCGGCATCCCGGTACGCATGTTTTTTACAGCTGGACGCTTATATTTCAGAGCAAGTATTCCACGTACGCTTAATTTTGCCTAAGGACGCATAAACATTACCGATTGTTTACAACCACAAATACGTCAGCGCATGTCAGTCTATAGGTGGGCGGTCCTATGCACATCGACGTGCACGCAATAGTGATCAGAATCATCAGACTAATGGATACACGCGCTGTACTTACCAGATATAACCGAGGTGATAATTTTATATCTTTGATCAACAGTTGATTGGAAATTAGCAAATTTTTCTGACAAAAGGATAAAATTATCGACTATTTACACCGCAAGTTTAAAGACTGGTTTCTCAAATTACAAATGAGTGTAATTTTGAATGATTGTCGAATATTTTTGGCATTTTCTAGGCACAATTTTGCTTTAATTTCATTCTTGCAAAAACATTCTATAAGAGTTTTAAGAATTTAAGATATTGTGCCGAAATGCCAGGACAACAAACCAAAATACACATACGCTTTCAGACTTCCCGAAATACGTCGGTCCGACGGACATGTCCGATAAATTTTGATCAGGTCCGATGATTTTTTATTCCGGATCGGTCCGAATGTCCGGCTTTTATCCAAGCCACATGTATACGAAATGGCGTCGCTAAAGCTGCCAAACCTGGGAAAAACGAAATTCTACGTCAGAGGAGCGCGCAGAACAGCAATAAAAGGATGAAAAGAATAGACCTGAGACAAAATTTAATGAAAAATGGAAGCAGGACCATGAATCGTTGGTGTATAACAGGGAGGAGATGAAAAATTCAAAATGCACTGTACGGAATGTGCCGATTTTTACGGCGAAAAAATTAAAAACAAAAAGTGTCTTAGAAATACAAACACAAGTTTTTCTTTGATTTTGATCAATTTTATTTGGTCTGACAGATTTCGTTTCGGTCCGACAGGTTTTCATGGTTTGTCAGACCGAATGTCTGACAGTTTTTTTTAACTTTCGGGAAGTCTGCGCTTTTCTTTGATATTTAGATTCTATCTGAAAATTGATCCCTAACATCAGCGATTTCACATTCGCCAGAAACCCTAAAATGTTGCAAAAATTCTCAGTTTCCAAGCCAAACATGTGAATGAATTGTTCCTTTATTATTTAATCAACATTAAATCTTTAAATATCGATCTTCAATTTGCCCCCTTTTGAAGATATTTGCTAAAATAATTGTCGATCGGATGAATCTCTTACACACTGTGTGAAGCTGTACACGATTTTCCTATTCATTCCGCTAAACACTGCCTATATATACATTTATGGTTTTTTTTACAAATAGAAACTTTTTGTCTTTAGAGTGGACTTATTTAACCAGAATAAAATTTGATTTGGTATAAAAGTGAAAAAAATAAAAAACGATTTCCATGTGTTGATGCATTATAATGAAATAATTTCATAATAAATATTAACAACAAAACAATAATTATACTTTGTAGTTCAGAGTTTGTTTTGAATAACTATAAACTTTGAAAGTCTCTTGAAGATTCAAAATATCAGCAAAGCTATTGTGAGCATTGAATGACTAATCTTTAAACATATTAATTGCGACGCGCTTTTGGACTCCAACTTTTTCAGGGTTGGGAGTCCATGGACTCCATGTTTTAAAGTCCTAGTGAGAACCCTGATATGTATACTGACAATAAATAAATTTTGATTTGATTTGATTTGATTTGATTTACCTTATGACATAGATCATTTGACATTTGTTTGGGCCAAACTCTATGGTCCAATCCAAATCCCACTTTTCTACTCAATCCAAAGGGGTGTGATTGCTGACCTTGTGGTTATGTTTGGTACATGTATACAGGGCTCCAGATAAGATGCGTTTACGCGTAAATTACGCATGGAAATAACCCGTTTACGCATTCAAAACAAAATTTAAGCGTATGAAAACGCACACAAAATTCAGGTTACGCATTGAGCAACATTTCTTTCGCGTAAACGTAACCGAAAGTAAACTCGGTGATTATTTTATTTTCAATTTCGCCTGAACGCTTTGCAAGCGTCTACCGGTAACTTCCTGTATTTCCGACCATCATCGGTTGTTATTGTATGCATAGTATGGTGGTGGAATTAACTTCGGATGAATGCTTTGCAACGTCTAACGGTTACTTCCTGTAGTTCCGACTATCATCGGTTGTTAGCGTATGTATAGTAAGGTGGTGGAATTAACCGGTACAATGTCGCTGTCTAAAGTTAAAACGATTGACTCGTATTTTCAGCCGAAAAAAAATCGACCCAAAAGTAATTGTGACGGTTATAATTAATGAAATAATTAGCACTGCCACGTACGAGCAACAGAAACATGCCTCAGGTTCAGATAAAACGTATGCCGTTTGGAAATGCAAGATGATAAACCAAGAGAGTCCAAAAAGCAAAAGAAATGACTTTGACATATCTTGTATTTCAAGTATAATAATACAATAAACATGGAAGCATAATAAATCTTTTACTCTTTTACATACATTTTAAGGAGTAAAAATACTCCTGTCAAATTTCAGATTTCAAGTTTTACTCATTCACAAAAAAATCAATGAGTAAATACTCATTGCCCTAAAAAATTATCTGGAGCCCTGTGTATATATTGTATAAGTACCTAATCTCACACCCAACCTATTCTCAAACCTTTCATTCATGAGCTGTTATTTATTTACTAGAAGTGACTATGATGTCCTCAACTTGTGTACATTAAAGCTTATATTCTGACAGACATGTCTGTTGCTGTTAAATTAAAACAGTGCATAGTAAGGAATATTTACATTAGATATCTTATTACTAAGCATAATTTCATACAAATTGCTATTACGGTATTACCTTTGTAAGTCATGTAAATACACCATTAACTATTTGTAAAAATGAATATTAGAGACAAAAATATCTTAAAGCAGGTACCTGCATCCTGTAGGGTACTTCAATGTCATGTGATATTCATGTGACAATCACTTCAATGGCTTAACTAAACAGTAGAATTTCAGAGATACTTGAATGGGTTTGAGATTAGTTCTTTCTTTTAAGAGGCCATGTCAGTTTTACAAAATAGGGTTGTGCTTTTCCAAGATGGAAACAGAGCCTTTTTAATTGTTGAATTTCAGTCAAATTTTACAGACATGTTACATAAAGATTATAGTGTACATATGTAAATAATTCTCATAAAGATATACATGTATTTTTATTTTTACTAATTTAGTCTAAAAGACCTCTTGAATGCTTAGAGGTTTGAGAACTGGTTTGTCCACGATATGTACCCTGATCATACGGCAAGATCATCAGCAAATTAAAGGCAAATATTTTATTGCCAGTTGGTTGTCATTAATTTATTGAAGAAAGGGAAGTGGTCCAAGCACCAACCCCTGGGGTACTCTAGAAGCAGGGGTGTAATCAATTCAATCGATATCGGTGTATCAACGATCTTTGTTATCAGATTCGATATCAATTCCATTTTTTAAATATCTGATATCGAATGCTCACATATTTCTAGCAAAAGAGACTTCAGCAAACAGATTTTAAAGTACTGATAGACCAAAGGCCAAAATAAAAGCAACATAATTATAAAGTTATGGAAGCCAGAACTAACATATTTCAAACATTTTTATGCCCCCGCCATGTAATGGCCGGGGCATATAGTGTTACCCTGTTCCGTCCTTCCGTCATTCCGTCCTTCCGTCCTTCCGTCATTCCGTCCTTCCGTCATTCTGTCATTCCGTCATCATCAGTTTCCGTTCATTATCTCCCCAACGGTACAACACATTCAACTTAAATTTGACATATGGATATGTCATGAGAAAATACAGGTCAAGTTCGAATTTGGTCATGGTTCGATGATTTTTGGCAGAGTTATGCCCCTTTTACTTTGAAAATAATATGAAATTTTCAGTTTCCGTTCATTATCTCCCAAACGGTACAACACATTCAACTCAAATTTGACATATGGATATGTCATGAGAAAATACAGGTCAAGTTCGAATTTGGTCATGGTTCGATGATTTTTGGCAGAGTTATGCCCCTTTTACTTTGAAAATAATATGAAATTTTCAGTTTCTGTTCATTATCTCCCCAACTGTACAACACATTCAACTCAAATTTGACATATGGATATGTCATGAGAAAATACAGGTCAAGTTCGAATTTGGTCATGGTTCGATGATTTTTGGCAGAGTTATGCCCCTTTTACTTTGAAAATAATATGAAATTTTCAGTTTCTGTCATTATCTCCCCAACGGTACAACACATTCAACTCAAATTTGACATATGGATATGTCATGAGAAAATACAGGTCAAGTTCGAATTTGGTCATGGTTTGATGATTTTTGGCAGAGTTATGCCCCTTTTACTTTGAAAATAATGTGAAATTTTCAGTTTCTGTTCATTATCTCCCAAACGGTACAACACATTCAACTCAAATTTGACATATGGATATGTCATGAGAAAATACAGGTCAAGTTCGAATTTGGTCATGGTTCGATGATTTTTGGCAGAGTTGTGCCCCTTTTTCTTTGTAAATAATATGAAATTTTCAGTTTCCGTTCATTATCTCCCCAACAGTACAACACATTCAACTCAAATTTGACATATGGATATGTTTCTGGAATGCCCAGGCCAATTTCGAATTTGGTCATGGTTCAATGATTTTTGGCAGAGTAATGCCCCTTTCACTTTGAAAATAATATGAAATTTACAGTTTCTGTTCATTATCTACCCAACAGTGTTACATATTCAACTCAAATTTGACATATGGATATGTCAAAGGAATGGGCAGGTCAAGTTGGAATTTAGTCATGGTTCGATGATTTTTTGGCAGAGTTATGTCCCTTTCACTTTGAAAATAATATAGATACGTCTTAGGAATAAGCAGTTTAAGTTTGAATTTTGTCATGGTTTAATGATTTTGGACAACCTTATCTTTCTTGAATATTGGAAATTTTTTGAACTTTTTGTTTCAGCACTCATACTTTTGTGGAAATGTATGTATAGCCATTATTTTGGCTACAAATATGAAATATGCTATTTTCAAAAGGTTAAGACTGAATAATTTCAGTGCCTTGAATATTGTATGAAAATGGTTTGTGTTAACACTGAAAAGTTTAAAGGGCTTTGAACTTAAAATGAAAACAATAATTTGTGCAAACAAATTTGGAACTAAATATTATAACATCTGAAATTTTGGCTGCATGCGGGGGCATCCGTGGCATGATGACACATTTCTAGTTTTTTCTAAAACGAAAACGGAAATCAACACAAGAGTTACCTCCCATAGTCTCTAACGAATGCTGCCGAATTTCATTGTAATCTCACATGTCTGCTAAGAGGGGGTCATGACCCCCCAATTCAGATTTTTAAAAGGGAAAATGCCAAGAAAATTTTTGTAAGTTTTTCTTTGTAAAAATTATGATTACATATGTTAAACTTTGATAATTATTCCGGTTCTAGACACTATAATTTGCCAGTTAAACCCCAGCTTACTAATGGAGCTGCAAGGACGGGATTTAGCATAATCCGTAACGACGCAATAGCATAACAACAACAAAAGTAAAATGGAAAAGGCTTTAAACATTATAGTTACTAGTCATTAGTTGTCATTAAAAGTTATAATGATCAGGGTCACTTGCCTTGTGGTCGTTTAGGTTTCTATAGGCAGTTATTGAGATGTTTGTCACTCTTAGATGTTGCTCATTGTTGATCTCAGGTGGTGTCATCATTATATGATTTGCATACATGTGCATCTAATGCATTTATTGTTTTGAATTACAAAATAACAGAATAGCTAGCCTATTGTTTATTTTCAAAATATTAAAAGCAAGTAAGTAAGTACAACTTTATTTAATGAGGCAGCACAGTTGGACAAGCCCATCTTCCCTGTGAGCCTTCATTTCTTTCTATTTCGGTTTATTTATACTCGGCGCCGGAAATTCCATATGTCCGAGAATATAGCATCCTTGCCGGTCCACTAAGGTAGTCACATCGGGGACGTCTTTGTCAAGCTGAATCTTCCTGTAGCCCATTCTTTGTTCGTTGGTGCTAGAGGAGTACAACAATACTGGCCAGGCATCATGTTCCTTACTGACGATAACAAAAACGGCTCTCATTAGCGCCAACCCTCCAGAGTTAGTCACGACAGGTCAACCAATCACCTCTGGTACTTAAGATGACTTGACCTTGACCTGCCGTGTGCCTTCTCCGCGACATGCACGCCTCTGGAGGGATTTGGAGAAGATGTGAGCCTTCAAACTATAAATAACACTTTTATATCTGAAAGTCAAATGTTTATAACACTCTAAAAAAAATTATATATAAAAAATAATGATAATGAAAAAATAAAATAAAGATTGTCAAATTTACATTGTTGCAGTGGTAGAAATATTAGTCCAAATATGTGACTATATTTTGATCTATCATCAAATATTTATAAGAAAATCTCATTTATTCTATTTTCATTAGTAAAAAACCTTTTCGATGAAGAACCTGACTTCTCTGAATTCCAGATGTTTTTTTTCTTCAAATTTGTTCTTGTTTTACCCTTAAATTAAACTCCTGGATCCGAACAGTTTGTCGACTGTCACACCTAGATAAAAATCGCACATCTTGAAGGGCTAAACATACACCAAACTAATCATATTTTGGTTGATTAATGGATCTGCAAAGGTGTGAAAATTACACTAACCTTGTTTTAATAACAACTATAATTGCTTAATTGATAGGTGATCAGCATGTTTGATATTCTTTATTTGCATATACGGTTACCTAACTATTTATATTTTGTAATAAATTTAATGACATGGGATTAATAATTGCAATGAAAGAAAACTATCAGTGAATTGGTATAATTGCTGAAACGGGTGAGACAACACTGACCAATACTTATACGAATATTTAACTGAAATTTGATGCTTGCAAGTCACTTTGTTTCTTTATTGTTGCAAAGAATCATGTCTCAGCCTCCTTCTAAACATTGTAGGGTAGAACTTATGTGTATTAAAATCAACAATAATATCAGTTGATGAGATTGCAAAAATAAAAAGATTTATGTTACAATTTCATATGCATTTCCATTTTCTTTCCATAAAGATAAACTATTGTGCCCTCCCCAGTGCAAATATGCAAACATTCTTCTATTCTGGAAACATTTCTTATCTGTATGTTTCATCTGGTCCCTTAGACAGGTTCCTCTGTATTTGTTTGAGCAGGACATCTAGCCAGTCACTCTTGAAAATATTATCATTGACAGGCTCAAAAATGTCTAGAATAGATCTAGCAGTTTAAAATAGCCCTAGAACCAAGGGGTTAGAGTCAATGACTTCTTATCCAGTTACCTCTCTGCCGTGGGTTCGATCCCCGGGAGATGCTTTGGTAGTTTAGCGCGAAGGAAGGAAGTCTAGTACTGGTATAACTCTCCAGGAACGATGGATAGGAAACTACTTGTCTATATGACTGAAATACTGTTGGGAAAAGAGCCAGTGATTTTTCTCTCTCAATTGGGAAGAGGCCTTAGCCTCTTGATTTTGGGAAAAATTATCGCTAAAATTGCTAATTTGGGAAGAAAAAAGCAGGTTAAAGTTCAGAGTTTTGGGAAAACTGCATGATTTTAAAGAAAATTTCAATTGGGAAGAGGCCCTTTTTCGGAGTCTGTTATATAAGTAGGAAAATCACTGAAGGCGTAAAATGAAACAAACAAAATAGCCCTTTTATCAATAAATCTATAAAAATCAGCTATAATTATTAAACTGCATTTAGACATTTGTGGAAAAAAGATATAAGAAATAACAGAGTAAGGATCAGTAAATGAGAGCAACATTCACAAAATGCAGCCCCAACAATATCTTTTCTTATTTATCATTTAAAATTTATGTTTCTTTTAATTCCAGGCTTTGTGGATAAAAGAAAACGAGACTTGGTAATAGATATGTTTGTTGCTAATAAAATGGAATCTAAACATACACAACACAGTGAGAAGCATAATGATATGTGTGTTCTTGATATGGTATCAGAAATATTACTTCAAATTATAGAAGACCACAGTGTTTTCAATCCCAAAAATGAAGAAAAATGTGTAAATGAAACTGTTCAAACATTGAGTGAAACTGAGGATGAAGACTTTAATGATGAAGGGCTTACTTCAGAAAACCAATGTATTCAACTTAATGAAGATGGTAACATATTACAACATAGTCAACTAGCAGTGAAAGAAATTTCTTTGGAGAGACATGAAACTACTTTAAATACTTTTGATATTCATAGTAAAATTCAAGATTTACTAAACAGCAAGGGAAATGATGATTATGACAAAGAAGAAAACAACAGCTGCGAGAAGAAACAGTTGCTGACTGCATTACATTTAAGCCCAGCTTTAAAGGATTTTGATAAAGAAAAAGATAAGTGTGATTTGGATTTTGCAGAAAAGAAGAAAGAAAGTGTGCACTTTACTTCTCCTGTAGCTGTTTTCTATGAATTCAGTGAAAAAAGCGAAGCTTCATCAGATGGTAGTACAGACATTCTATCAGATTCTGATTCTCAAGACTTGATTCTATCACAGAATGAAAGTATAGAAACAAGTGAATTAGATTTAGAGAATAGAGTTGCAAATTCACATGCTATAAATAATGTGCAAGATAGAAATTTGACTTTGTATGTAGGAGAAGACAGTCTTGAGGACAAGAGAGATTGCATTATGACACCAGGAGGAGATTGTTTTAATGTCAAGTTATTTGCGAACTTTGATGCGGTAACTGACCCATTAGAAATTGAAACGGCAAATGATTGCAACCAAAATGCACTTTCACCTAAAAGTTTCAACAATGGAACTTTAGTTAACCACCTAGAATTAAGTCAAAAGGGAAAAGAGATAGAAAAAGTTACTGTAACAGTGGCAGATAATTTAAAACCTATAGATGATAATTCAGAAAGACAGGACTCAAAAAATGTTTTTGAAAGTTCAGAAGAAACATGTTACTCAGAAACAATTGCACAAGATATTAGTATTGGTAAAAGAAATGATTACAAAGTGAATAGAAGCAATCATACAAACATAACAGAAGAGTCTCTGGTATTACCAAATCTTTCAGAACCTAACTGTATTGTTGCCGATTTTTCAACTGTAGAAAATAAAACTGAGAGTAATGATTCTTGTATCAGTGAAGTTTTCACAAAATTTTCTCTTGATAAAGAAGAAAGCAAAGTTGAGCTTTCACAAGACATGTTTATTGAACTGAATCAGACAAATACTACAGAAGAAGAAACTATTGACAAATCAGACATCAATTCACCTCAACATTACATTAATGGTGGTGGTAAAGACTTTGATAATTTCCCTGTTAATAAATCAATAGAGCAAGACTTGGTTAATCAGAAAATATATGAAAATATACAAGTAGAAATTGAAAAAGAGCAAGACATTATAAATACTGCTGAGGAATGTGAATTCAAAGATGAAAAAGTAGAACCAAGCCAACAGTGTGCTGAAACAAGTATGAGTACAGAAGTTGATGCTCTAGCATATAGTGAAATAGAGAATAGTGACATGGCCGGTATTAAGTCCAGTCAGAAAAGAGAACAGTCAAGCCCGGAGTTAAATTGTTCACAGGTTATTAAAAAAAGCAGATCAGGAACAGCAGTTGATTTAACATCTAAAGCAAAAAAGAGGAAATTATTCAAATTTGGACTGAATGAATGTAGAAAGGTAAAATTGCTCAAACTTGATTTTGAGTATGATGAAACAGATTTGAAAAAAGTACCAAAAATGTTAAAACAGTTAGCATCAGATGTGATAGCTGGATTGGATGAAAATGTTATCTTTGAATGTAACAAAGAAGAACTAACTACAAAGCAAGAGAACATTAATGAAGCACCAGATGGTCACTCGGTAAGTATTACAGTAGACATCAGTGGTAACTTTGAAAATGAAATGAAAGAAGACAGCTTTGATAGACAAGACAAAATTAGTACAGGTGATTTGTGTTTAAGTGATTGTGAAAAGGAGTTACAGCAAGAATATCCAAAGGCTTTAGGTTTGTGTAACTCTGGAAGTAATCAAAATAGTAAACTGCTTAACAAATCGAATGATACTGGCATTAGTGAAGACACTACATCAATACTGTTGGAAACTTCTGAAATTGGTTGTTTAAATGAGGAACATTTCCTTGAGAGTCAAAACTTCCCAAGATGTACAGATACAATGTCTGCAACAAAAGCACTCTCACAGCACTCAGATGAGAACTGTAATGAAACTCATTGTTTGTTTGAAAGTGATCAAAGTGTACCAGTCATAGATGGACCAATACATATGAAAGGTGCAGAAGACACAGACTCTTTTCAATTAGAAACAGCTGAAGAATTACACAACAAACAACATGTTTATCCAAAAAATCTGTTAAGTCCAAAATTCATGACTGCAACAGAATTACTGTCACAGAGTTCAGAAGAGAGTGGAAGTACTGGATTCACAGTCAATGCCACAGATCCTCTGAATAATTTTGATTTACAAGATCAAGACAGTTTAGAAAACTCTGAGGTGATACAGATCAATAACATTGCAGAGTTTGGAATAAATCCTATTGTGCAAGAACAGCGTCCTGTAGTTGTGGCAACCTTTAATCATAATCCAAAAAGTGTAGTTGAAATCACTGAAGATGGTTTGATGGAAGAAAAGTTGGAAAATACTGGTTATGATATGATAGTATCGTCTTGTGAAATTAAGGGAAATGTAAAGTCTTTAGATGTTTTGGACAGAAATTGTGCTGCTACTGATCAAGATGAACAGATAGATACTGGTAAGCTTACAAGTTGCGAGTTATTAATAACATTATGTTTCAAAACTTAAACAATAAAAAGAAGAAAAAAACAACAAAAAACAGATAGCAGTTATTCAGTCTCTTTTACAATACTGTAAACACCTCTTGTAAATCAACTATTTTTAATTTATTTTTCATGTAGAGCATATTAGTATATTATATGTCTATTATAAGAAAACCTTATAATTAACCAATCAGTACACTTATTTTCAGATCAACTGGATGTATATATTGATGGAATAGTAGATCAAATAGTTCCTGATGATAAGTATGAAGGTGAACCTATAAACAGAGGGGAAGAACATACAATGTTTACAAGAAAAGAAGGTAGGAGGGATTTTTTTGCATGATAATCAGAATATGATTTTAATTTATAATTTTATATTATGGACAACAACTTGACTTTTTAATCATATGCAAAGTTTGAACTCTGATGGGGCCTTTGTTGTCACTCATGAAAATGTCGAGAACTCCATCCAGTACAAATATTTTGCATCATATGGGTAACTATTGATTCATTCTTTAGAACTTTCAAAACTGCAATCATTGCAGGAAGATAATATACATTTATTAAAACCTATTTACTGCAGGAAAATAATATATGTTCATGTGCTAAAGATAGCAAAAAATCATTTTAAATTACATGTTAACAGTCATTTGATTTACACTTGAAACATTTTTTTTTCATAATGTTGGTTTCTGGTTGTTTTATTCCTGTAGATAAGAAATCAGAAGTACATAGATGTGGTCCAGATGTTTGTGTTAAAGAAGACAACACTGCTTGTCAACAAATAAAAACTCAAGGTATGTGCTTCTGGGAAAGTCAATACTGCCTTATAATCAGTATGAAAAAGGTTTGAATATGGACAAGGTTTTTAACTGTAGTTTAGTAAATGAGTACATTTTTTTTTGTCCTTGTAATTGGCAATTACATGCATATAATAAGCTTTTTCTTCACATATAAAAAATATAAGACAATGTTGAGGAATTGTTTTGAAATATGTATTTTTTTATCTTTATTATTTAGACACATTCTGCAAAAATGTATGCTGAAGTCCCCTTTTTAATGATTTTTAAAGTATTTGAATGTTTAAATTTGAAATATTTATTGTAACATCATAATACCTATGCGTCTTTACAAAAAAATATTCTCTATTCTCTTGAAAAAGGAAATTGGAATGTTAAGCATTGTCTTTTTTAATTGCATGAACTATTTTAATTTTTTATGACACAAAGAGATTTTTTTTTACTTATCTGTTTGCTCTCTTTTTAAATGCCACTTAGAGCAAGTGACACAAATAAAGGATGTTAAGTTATGAAAATCATTTTTTTTAAATGTTGCTTTATTCTGCATGACATATGGATTTTTTTTTTTGATCATTTGCAGGAAAGGTGTATGAGAAATGTTTCAGCTGGAAGTATAGACCATCATATGATGCAGATGGAGACACAATTCTACCTGAGCTGCCAGATGAAGACCAAGTTGTTACTATCACTCCACTCAAAACTTGCGGTAAACCGCTGAGGTTGGGACTGTCTAAACGCCAGCCTGTGAAAAAGAGTCTTCATCAGTTTGTTACTAAGAAGTGATGGTTTGAAAATTATCTTTTGAAATTGTAAATCTATTCAAGTACCAGCTGAGTATTTTTTTGGGGGGCTTAAAATGAAACTAACTTACAGTTCCAGAAAAACCAGGTTTATTGATGAATTTTGACTATTCTTAAGTGTTCCTACTCTTTGACACACTTATAAAAATGTCATGCAAACACTGCATGACATAAATGTTTAGTTAGATTAAGTGTTCTTAAGGTGTAAGTAAAGCCTATAAGTGTTGAATAAAAATATATCTAAACATTATTGCATTTGATAAGCAGACACAGTTTTGTGGAAATTGTTAAGACAATCTAGTATATCATAAATACTGAACATTATAGATAACAAAGGAGTAAAAATGAAATGATTTTCATTTGAAAAGCATAAAAATTCATGTGCATCTAAACAATCAATCAATTTATCTGATGTACTTAAAATACATAAAGCTTTATCTGCTTTGCCTTTAGATTACAAAATAAGTGGTTAAATTTTGAATAAGAATGATTTCAAAATACCTGTTTGAAAGAAATATGTTTGTATATTTTCTTGGTGAATGCACAAAATTATTGCTAAATGGTTAAAACCGTGCCTGTACTTCAAATAATAGCATATTTTGTTCTGGAATTAACATAAATTAGTCATATAACAAAGGACATTCTATGTAACAACTCTTTTGAGGACTAACCATAAGATTATGGAAATAACATAATTTTAATGTTTATAGCTTTTATACCCTTTAAGTCTACTGTAGCAAGACTATTTTCATGAACAATTTTGTATTTAATGAGGTATAGCAAAATTTCACCAGGTTTAAGAGTTTAGAGATTATCATCGGACTGGTAATATGTCAAAATATTATGATATGTATAATATGCTTTTTTAACCTGATGTTTTGTTTTAAATTTTTTCATATTTGATTCAGTTGCTTTTTCTATGTGATGTTAGTATTAATTATATAAGTTGTTTCTTGATGAAGTTGTGAGCAATAAGTTTTGGCAATGCCATCTCTATTAGTGTATATGAGCTGTTTTTAGAGATTTTGGACATTGTCTGGAAAAAACTATAGAGTTTTTGGACCTTTTATTTTTTAGGAATCTTTCTGTGAAATGTTGGTACTAGAATCAGCAAACATGATGTGATTATAAGTTACAGTAATGCTCAGACATTACCACAACACCTATTTTATACAAAACATCATATAATGTTCCATATTATAATGTTGTTTTTACTGCCATCATTCAACAAAATCCAGAATCACTAGACACTGCTCATAGTTAAATTGAACAAGTTATGTGTATTTTTTTGTATCTCTCAAAGCAAAACTGTGATAGCATTAAAAAGTTAAAAATTGTTTTGTTTTGTTGTTTGTTAATATTAAGAAGTGAAACCATTATTGATGAATATGAGAAGTGTCCTAGAGCTTTTGGTTCATATCTCAAATATTAATTTTTCATTTTTTTGTTTGGAATCATTCTCCTAAATGTTTTACCTTGACTTTAGTACCAAAATCATAGCAAACTATGAATTCATTAACACACAAGATTGTTGTTCTGTTGTATATAGGGGTAAATGTTCTTTATGCAAGTGACACCAATTATTGCTGAATATGAGATGTGTCTAGAGTTTTTGATTCTTCTCTCAAAAATGAATTTTTCAAATTTTTTTTCAAGAATCTTTCTATTAAATGTTTTAATTTGACATTATCATTGAATTGTAGCAAATTTATGATAAGTGACAGCACATTGCTTACTTTATGACAATACCTATTTTATATCACAAACATTAGATAATGTTGATCTGTAGATTGTGTTTTATAATGACATTATTCAACCAAACTCACTGGACATTGCTCATATCCATTTGTTATATTTGATAAATGAACTAGTTCAATTACTCTCAAAGTAAAACTGTGATAGCATTAAATAGTTGGAAGTTGTTTTTATGGTACCGGTATTTTCTATAAATTATTTTGTAAATGTGACATGCTAGGTTGTTACTTTGTTGTACACATGTATGTATGGATAAATGTTCTTTTTTCAATGTATTAAGAACTATTTTCTCCTCATTCAAAACTTAAGGATTGTTTAAAACTGTTAATTGAGTTTAGTTACTGTATATAGTATTTTTTGTTTGTTTGTTGTTTCTAAATAAAGTTGACATCATTATTGGTTGATATGATTTATGTCTAGAAGTTTTGGTCCTTTAGAGGACATCAGTACTAGAATCATAGTAAACATACAGTAAGATAAAAATAGCACTTCTCTCAGGATAATAGTGTATATTAGCAACCCTTGAACTGAAATAATACCCTTGGCAGCAACCCTTGAACTGAAATAACACACTGGGCAGCAACCCTTGAACTGAAATAACAACCTCGGCAGCAACCCTTGAACTGAAATAACACACTGGGCAGCCATCCATGAACTGAAATAATACCCTCGGCAGCAACCCTTGAACTGAAATAACCCCCTGGGCAGAGCCGAGGGTGTTAATTCAAGGGTTGCTAATATGCACTGTTACTCGAGAGACATATGTTTTTTCTTTATTACCATGGTGTACTGAACCAACATTTTAATGCATTTTTTCAATGCTATGATTTCTATCAGGGTAGAGAACTAGAACATACATTTTCTTAAGTCTATATAGATTACTTGCCCATGGGCCTATTGCAAGGGTGATATGATAAATTGAATTACACACCTCCTCTATTGTTTGTGACAGGTCTATATTTTTCAAATAGACCTGTTTAAACAAAAGAAAGTCCGTTATGAGGTCTATCTTTTGCACGTGCACAGGTCAGTTCTAGACAGACAGACCCGGTCATGAAATACACGTGAAAAAATAGACCTGCCTATGCGCAGACAAAGAAAACATGAAATGCAATCAAAAATTAAAACTCGTTTAACTAAGCAATTATTCCAGCATCCCTATATTAAATCTTTTCAATACAAATAATGGAAAGCATATCAGTGTTAGGACACATTTAACATTTATTCAATCGCGTATTTTTTAATAATTGTAATTCTGTCATTAAGTTCATAATATAACAAAATGAACGCTACAAGTTTATATGTATGAAACTATATAGCAGATATCACATCATACTCATGACCATTTTAAAATGTTAATTAAGTTATAAGTGATTTAGTTTAAAACCTTTTATGATGAATGTTTTATTCTAGAACACTTTATAATCTATAAAATATAGTTTCGGTTCATATACCTCACACTTGCCTACAATATACATATGTAAGCCTTACGTGGTCTGCTTGGTATCCACACATTGCCCTTCGGACAGTTGCCCCCTCGCCTGTTTGCCCCCTTTTTGCAATGGCGGTCAATTGTCCCCTTATATCTTTGGAAGGGGCGGACATTTGTCCCCACTCCCTGTTTTAAAAAATATTTTATTGTTGAATTGTTTGCCATAATTCATTGCCTATTGTTTCATTGTGCTTAAGTACACAAAAACTCTCGCGCAAATTTGTAAAATGTTTCCATTGGCAAACATGAAATCTATGCACGAGCTGACATGTCACAAGTCACAACGGCAAAAAGGGGCAATGTCCGGGGGCAAATGTCATAGAATCTGAATTTTGTCGGATACGAAATACTATCAACATAATTATTCATTCTTTAACATACTTTTTAACAGATCTATTCACTTTATTATTGAAAATTGCATATTTAGCTTTTTTTTATTTTTATGATTTTTAAAGGTGGAAAGCAAAGTATATATTATATTTAAGCAGAACGATAATAAAAGCTTACCTGTTTATGCTTTGTGTTAAAAATAATATTTGTGAATTTTCCAATATAGTTTTAACGGTGTGTAAGTTGGATATCGGCCTCGTACATCGATCTTTCTGAATAGGAAAGACCTGGTCACGAATTTCATGAAACACCTCGAGCGCTACGCGCTCTCGGTGTCACATGAAATTCGTGACCAGGTCTTTCTTAATCAGAAAGACCTTGTACTCGGTCGATATCCTATACATAGCACCATGTAACGTCATATTAGGGTATATAATTAAATATTTACCCCGAGTTGTAATAAGATAAATTACAGCATAGAGCGTATTTTACAATTATACCTATTATACATCATAAATATCATATTATGCTGACCTTCAGATTATAATGGTCTGTTATAATGACATTGCTCAACAAGGACCAAAATCACTAGACGCTGCTCATATGTTTGTAAATTGGACTAGTTCAGTACATGTGTGTCTCAAAGCAGACCTGTGATAGCATTCATTAGTTTTAAAAGTTGCTTTTTTTCTTTGAATTATTTTGTATATTTGACATGCAAGGCTGTTATACTGATGTATGTAAAGCTTCATGTTCTTCTTTTAAAGACATTTTTCTATATAAGCATTGTCTCCTCATTTAAAACTCAGGGATTGTTCATATGAATTCACTGTATTATTAATTTGTTGGTTTGTTTTTCATGAATTCAGTTGTTAACATTAAATAGTGAAATTGTTATTGTTTAATATACACTTGTTATGAGCTGTTCGTTGAATTAGTTCATTACTTACTCCGAGCCAAACTGTGATAGAGAAAAATGTTCAGAGTTATCATGTTCAGTATTTTTATGTGTTTTTTTAGCGTAGTAATTTGTTAGTTGATATTATTATTCTGTTATTAGAGAACTTTCATAATAATGTTCCTACAGTAAAGTTTGTTGTTGCTTATAGAACTTCTTGTACTGGAAGTTTTGTTTTTCTGTTGAAAGAATTAAAAGATTATTAAAAAAATGTGTACATTTTATACATGAAAAATCCTGGAGGATTTAATTGTCCAAGTTTTGTCTTTTTCCTTTATTCAGTTGATTTAATCTTGAATTCAAAGGTATAAATGTACACAGTGATTCAAGATTGAATGAAATTCTCAAAAGACAAAACAACTTAAAGCACTGGCTGTTGGCTAACATATTTTTTTACATAAAACAATAAGCATAATGTGGTTTTACACTTAGTCTTTCAGAAAAGCATGATTGTAAATATTGGACAAGTGAATAACATTGTTTACTCAAATAATAAGTTAATGCTTTTAGAATTGCCAAAGGCATTGTGTACAGGAGTGTATTCCTTTATCACATACTTACGAAAAATACAAAGGTCATAATTTCCCAAAAAATGATTATGTCATAAAACCCAGGGTTACATTTTATAGGTCTGAATACTTAATAGTTCTGTTAAAATTTTTTGTCATAGTGTAATAGAATTCTCCATGTAATATATTGTATATGAACGGTAATCTATCTTATGTAGACAGTAATACCCAAGTTTTCTCCCTTTAACAAAACTTAAATACTTTTGGATTTTGAATGACTAAGTGTGACATGAGTTAACAGATGGATAGACAATCAAGGGAAAAACTTCAAATATGCAAAATTCTTTAGTTCACAATAATTCTATGAAAGTTCGGATGAAATTCTTTGAAAAATGTAGGAGTTGCACTTCAGAATATTTCTCTATATATAATACAATGTGAAAAAACAATAATTAAGGGCAATATTGAATTAGGTAAACAAAAGCTGTCTGGGCAGCAGCATGATTTCAATTTTTTAAGTGCTGGATATTAAAATGCATTTTTCTAATTACATGTATTAAAGAGATCATTTGAATTAAAGGTCATGTAAACCTTGACATTTGACTTTGATACCAAGATTATCCACATGTTATATTTTCTTCGATTAATATGATATTATTTAGAAGGTTGCATTGATGTTGCAAATTTGTATATGTCTAAATGTGTTACCTTCTGTAAAGAAAGTTTTTATTATTATTATTACATGTTTTAAGTCATAATTGAAGTTGCTGTTCTAAAGTTTAACAGAGGTCATTTTGACCTTTTGACTGAGGCATGTAGAACTCATTAAGGTGCATTCACTTATAAAGTTTCAATCAAGCTTTGTTAAGATTGAAGTTAATGACCGTAAAACTTTACCAAAAAGTTAACCAGTGCTGACAGTTGGGTCATAAAAATTGCTTTGCCTTTCTTCACATGATCACATCACAAAAACCTATCTATGTGACAGAGCACTTCATGACAAGACTTCTGTGAATGTTTGGTTTAAATGTATTGAGAAATGTAGGAGTTGCCAACAGAAAATTGTTTATGCCTGCTCAGCTGCCTGTCAACATTAACCAATCTTAATAACTACATTTTGTGTTGTTTTTTTTTACTTCCAGAAAACCTGGTTTAAATAGGCAAACATTTGAAAACACATACAAGCAAACTAAAAAAGTATTAATCATCATCAAATCTCAGCGCATATAATGCTTGTATTTACTAGACATTCTTTGCAGGAACAAATGCATTAGTTGCAGGCACAATGTTGGATTAAATTATTTTTACATGTATGAAAGAAGAAATTAATTACTGTGAATGTTCCTTGGTATTATTTTATTTGTATTATTACAACTTAGGTAAAATGTAGATCATCCAAGGCATTTCACACCTAAAACTGATTTAAGTAGGCAAATGAAATACATGTATGGTGTTCATAGTTTTCCTCGCCTTAATTAAAAACAAGACTTTCTGATTTTTGTTTTATTTTGTCAAGTTTGAAGTCCCACTGACACAGGCTTTCTGTGTTTTACTTTGAGGAGGAAGATGCATTATTTTAGCATTATTTTAGGCATGAAATGGCACTCTAGTAAAGCCAACACTATTCAATAAACTAGCTGGATAAGTTCTGGCACTACTGATTGCGATTCCTGTCAGGGACTTTAGATAATTCGGTCATGTGGGAAAGCAATATCCAGTAAGCTAAGGGAAGGTCAATGGTTCAATTCAATTACTTAAAGTGAGATATATATAGTGTTAATATAAAACAAACAAGTATTATGTATAATGATATATTTCATTGAAACATGATCCCATTTTGATTTGCATAAAATTGTTAACAAAAATTATAATTCTGTAAATAAAACACAATGTTATAATTAACAACCAAGGATGTAATGATTTATCTTACATATACATACATATACATAATAATGTTTAAATGCTCCTCTCTGTCGTTTATGTCAAAAACAATAAACTAAACTAGCAAGATGGTTAAATATAAAAAAAGATCAGTTAATGTACTTTTGTTGTTCTTTTGATTTTTAATTGTAATCAAAAGAACACAATGGTCTTTGTGCCATTGTAAAATTTAACAATCAAAGGGCAACAACTCTAGTCTTACTGTAACATATTGTGAGCATTGATTAATGTCCTTTTCATTAATTTTCAATAATGTAAGAAAATTTCTCACTGTCAAGAAAAGCATATTGATATTTTCTGTTATTTTCCTTTTTGTTGTTTTTTTTTATTACTTTTTTTGTTTTAGATAGGCCATCTAAAAATATTGTATGATGACTACACATTCCTACTTCAGTCTAGTCCTCAAAAATTTTGAATGGATTTTTCATAGAATGTAACACAAAATATAGAAACATTTTTATGCTAAAATTATATAGAATCTATAAAAATTTATAAACAAATTTATACTGCCAATTCCTTGCAAAAATGGTTGCAGTTGTGGTAAAATTAGTAACAGCAAAATATTACTGTATGTGTATTAACTTAAGAAATAAGAAGTAACCCTTAACCGGCTTGAACATAAAGTGATAATCTGTTTGCCACTAGTATAGAGCCAGGCCAGCCTGAACACCTGACAGTCTCACTAGGCTTCATATTGTCAACTTGATATCACATGCCAAAAGAAAAGAAGCAAAGCCGTTTTGAAAGAGGAGCACTTATTCTATAATTAAAGATAATTTGCATACATACAGACTAAATGCTTACAGAACGGAAAGGCATTTTATTTTGCTGAAGAATCACAGATTTGTGTATACCATAAAAATTATCACATACTTGTAGGCTTAACCCAAATTACACAATGTAAATTGCAGTTAAAAACAGTGATTGATAAAAAAAAGTAAAAATCAACAAACATTGTATTCAGCATATATATGAAGTAAAATCAAACTGTATTGGCTTTGCACTACTTTCAACCAACCATTTTTTTAGGAATCATCTTAAATTCATGAACAATATTGCAAGTTGTAGACTAAACAATTCAAACATTTACAGCTACCTGAATGTTGATTGTAAGAGTTTCTATAAAAGTATTTAAAGTGATGCCAATTCCTGCTTATAATTTTTTTTTATCTTAAGTACAAGTAAAAGATAATCCTTAATCTGTTATGCCAGAATAATCAAAACATATATCAGCCAATAAAAATGCTGGTTAAAGATGGATCGTTAAAATTGGGTGTTAACAAGAAATTAAGATAAACACTTTCCCTAGTTCTAGACCATCCAAAGAAAAAAATTTAAATTTTAAAACATAAAAAGCTGAATTCATTCATTACTTATACATATTGGCTGGCATTTTAACAATTCTATGAATTAAACTTAATACAATTTTCATCATCATTTTCATTCTGAATGTACACAAAGACTGGCATCTGATATCGACATATGATCATATCAGAATGATTCTTCTATAAACAAAACTTAAATATGATTTTCATCACAATTTTCCTTTACTTTTCAAACCATACATTACAAAGGTAAATAAAGTACATGTATCTATTTTTCATAATGAGAAACTGTTTCTATAATGGATTTTGTTATTAATGAAATTCTTCAACTCTGAAACAAAACATAGTAAAAATGTGAAACAAATTAAGCAGTCTATGGTGTATTGATTTGGTCCCCTTCCAAGAGGAAATGATGTGTATAATTATTGCTCCATCACTATAAGTTATTGCCAAAAGTGTAAAAAATTGATACCGTAAAACTGATATCCAGTAGCAAATACAGTTTATTTTTTTATTGAGTTATTTCCTACATATTTGTTGTACAACATTCAAAGCAGGATTTCTGACCTTATATGAAAATTATGAAATTATCATAAACAGAAATAAGGCAATACATAATTAATGATTAAAATTAGAACAGAAAATTCATTTGTGTGATAAAAAGAAGTTATGGACGGCAAGTACATAAAATCTGCAAAATATTTCTGAATTTTTAACAAGACTGTTGCTGACTTAAATATTTGACATTTCAAACAATCAATCACTTCATGGCAAACAGTGAGCTTATTATGTCTCTAAACAGAATAGCTTGATGGTCACAAATGAAGCTAGAAAAAGTTTTTGTGATATGAATCAATATACAACATCATACATAAAACACATTCTCTTTGATATTGTTTAATGGACTGGTCCTTCTGTAAAATAAAATCCCACACAAACCAAAAATGTGTTCACAGAACACTGATGCCCCCATATTTTCTACAAAAGAACAAACATTTTAACAAACAGCAATATTGAACAGCTAACAGCATAGAGTGAGGACAAAGCAATAGTTTGAATTAGTTTGGTTGTATGCACCTTCAAGGAGTTTAACATAATATTCTAAATAAACATAATAAGTATTATATGAACACTATGGTATTAAAGAGAATGATCTATTAACAAAGTACAAGTATTTACACATAGTTCTCAGATAAATTTGTCTCCTCAGTATAATGCTGATTTAAGAGTAAAAAATAACAGTAAATTAAACTATCAAATACAGTAACTTTATCAAAAGATTTTGTACCCTTTTACTCTATAATAATAACGTACAGAATTGCTCAACAACTTGTTGTTTGATAATTTTTATATAAATCTTATCTTTAAAGACTTAAAATACTGTATATACAAAACATAAGTTTTTTAATCCACATGAACCTGATAATTAGTTAAAACAAAGAATTAGATATCAAGCCTTGGTTCTGTGATAGTATTTTAAAGTTAGTTAATATGTATGTTAATTAAGATTAAGTTTACATCCATATACTGTAAATAATTAATTACAACTTTTTAGTGCCACAAATTACAATAAATGACAAAACCAAAGCAGTTTATTTGTTTCCCTCTAAGTTTGATACAATCCTGGATCCCTTGCCTCCTGGTTAACGGATCCAGATATAGTTCTTTACCATTATGTGGTACTAGAAACAAAACAGATAATGAAATAATTCTATAGTACAATATAAGAAGGTATATCCCTATGGCTGAAAAGCAGACTGTTTATTTTCAAAGCAAACATATCAAAATATGAACTTTTTCAAGAAATATTTCAATTCTTTTCATCTGCTCTATGTATTTGAAGAGATTTTTTTAAATATTAGTACATTGTTATGGCAAATTTTCTGTTAACTCCAGGAGGCATGCTGCTTTAAAGGGATACACAGGCAAAATTTTCATTTCTTCGTTTCAAATTTTACATTCATTAATCTCTAAATGTCCTCAAAATGAATACACTAGGCAGTCACAGGAACAAAAACTTTTCTCCTTATAAAGAATCAAATGGTGGTTTTCTAACTTGACCCTCGTGGGTCAGGTTAGAGCGTTAAGATTTCACAATAGTTGTCGCAGTGAACTCTGGAAACGTTAAAAAACATGCCAAATGAATGGCTTAGACTTATTTCAATCATACAATATCCACACTATCTGTTATTGTAACTATTAGAGTTTGTTCAAGTCACGTGACTAGTTTTAAAATTCTGTTAGCGTCTCAATTTCATTCAACATATATAGATATATTTGTGCCTCAATCCCAATATATATAGAATTTATATAGAAATTCATGCTGGGACTTTTACAAATGTCATTTTAGCGTGATTTAAGTACATGGAACTTAAAAGAGATGGATATTATTTAAAAGCATTTAAAACTTTTACAGGTCTCCATATAACAATGCACATGAAATGATAAGGATAAGGCAGCACATAACAATATAGGAGACCATTAAGCTTTTATCACAGATGATTGTAAATATGTACACAAAAAATCAGGGCTAATTTCTAATCAAATCAAGTCTTCGACATCACAAACATCACATCCCCAATGTTACACAATCAGTCTGAAAGCTATTTGAACATGCAATAGAACCAATACTGTCTAAAATCTGTTCATTGTAAAAGATCCCACGCAAATGTAATTTTCAGTCTGACGATGCAAAGAAATCTGTAATTAACCAAAGTGCATCCACCACAATGATATAATATAAGAGTGAAGTATACAATACGTGCCTAAATAATTCATTGTGTGACTCATGTGTACAAATATTTTCAAATAAACATTGATTATACTTGTCTTTCTTTTTAGAGATACAGGAATAAAAATCATCGTATTTACAAACAAAATATATAGTCACTAACAAGCAGTCTGTTAGACAGTATGAGATACATAAAATATGCAAATTAAATTGTTCCCAATTTCAGGACGCCTCTGACTTTTTCTTGACAGGTTTCCCTAACACGTTTCTAGCTTTTTTAACATTGCACAGCCACTTGATTATCCGAGCGTTTCTCTCTACAACAGACGTTGTCCCTGCATCACGACCACTTAGATCCTGCTCACTTTCCATAGGCATTCTTTCCAGATCATTGGAGAGTCTACTAGAAAGACTATGTGCTTCTAAAGAATCCAAAGAACTAAAACTATCCAAAAGATCTTTATGTTTAGTTTCAGACAACCTCCTCATAGGTTCAAGAACTGATCTATCGATCCCCATTTCATTGAAAAATCTTTCAACTTCTGTACTAGTCCTTGAAAGGCGAGAACTCAAGTCAGAAAAGTCAGAACTTGTCCGAGAGTGTCGGCAGTTACTTAAATCTGACTGCGACCTGTGAAGTTGTCGTCGTGGTGGTAATTCTATTTCGTTTAATTGTTTATCAATGCGGGGTTTAGGTAATGGTGATCTATGCCTCTCAACAAGAACTCCCACAGATGTACTTAGAGAATTTACACATAGAGGTTTTAAAAATCCTTCAGTATGGGAATGAATACTGTGTCTTAAGGGCCCAGATTTTTCACTTTTGTCTTTTGAGGAAGTTTCACAAGCACTTGCTGATACTGATGAGAATCTCTTCTGATCTGGACTGTCAGATGCTTGGCTTTTCACATTAGGAGTAGGCTTCTTATCAGAAGAGGCCATTGCTTCCACTGATGTTTCTATATTATTTTCTGTATTATTGCTCTTGACCAATCTACGAACTGGTCTAGGAGGAGGTATGGGCTTATCTGAAATATTGATAAAAGACAAAAATAAATATGGTACTGAGTAGTACGAATAATAATTTGCTAAGTTTTATTATAAAGTGTATTATATATCAATTATAAAAAGAATTATGTTATGACTGCTTTATAATCAAAGCATTTATGAGATTTATAATTATATTCATAAACAATAAGCCTTTAAATCATCCATACCATTTCTACAGATGAAAAAAGGAAGTAGCTGCAAATTAACATCCTATACTTTTCAAAAACAACAATTAATTATGTCACTTTTGATTTACAACTGTAATATACCCATATATCTAATGGTTTATTCAAAATGCATGTAATAAACTTTTGACAACAGTACTTCAAATACTTGGCAAAATATGCATATATTTGTGAGTCATATGACAGAAGTTATTTTCAATGTAGATTATAATATCAAATTAATTATTGTTAATTTCTTCTGCTTTTGTTATTTCCTTCATGTTGAAACTATATCATTTGCCATTTCCTTAATGTTGAAACTATGTTTGTTGCTTGAAAACAATTAACAAGAGGGCCATGATGGCCCTAGATCGCTCACCTGATTTATCAAACTCATCCAAACAATTACCTAGACAAGCATTCTGACCAAGTCTCATGACAGGTGAGTCAAAAATGTGACCACTACAGTGTTAACAAGGATTATCCATATTTGAGCAGTGCGACCTAGTTTTTTACCCAGGTGACACATATTCAAACTTGACCTAGAAATCATCAAAACAAACTTTTAGACCAATTTCAAGGATACTTGGATCAAAACAGTAGCAACTAGAGTGTTAACAAGATTTTTCTATTTTTTGCTCCGGTGACCTAGTTCCACATGCGATTTCGAACTCATCCAAGCAATTACCTATACAAGCATCCTGACCAAGTTTGATGATAATTGAGTCGAAAATGTGACCACTTAGAATGTAAACAAGGTTTTTTCCATATTTGGGCGGTGTGACCTAGTTTTTTTCATCCAAGATGACCAATGTTCGAACTTGACTTAGAAATCATCAAAACAAACTTTCAGACCAATTAACAGAATATTTGGATCACAACAGTAGCCACTAGAGTGTTAACAAGATTTTTCTATTTTTAGCTCCGGTGACCTACTTTTTCATCCGAGATGACCCATGTTCAATTTCTTCCCAGCAATGACCTAGACAAGTTTCCTGACCAAGTTTGATGACAATTGAGTCAAAATTGTGACCACTAGAGTGTTAACAAGGTTTTTCTATTTTTAGCTCCTGTGACCTAGTTTTACATCCGAGATGACCCATGTTCGAACTCATCCGAGCTATCACCTAGACAAGCATCTTGATCAAGTTTGATGATGATTGATGCAAAAATGTGACCACTAGAGTGTTAACAAGGTTTTTCTATTTTTAGCTCCGGTGACCTACTTTTTCATCCGAGATGACCCATGTTCACACTCATCCGAACTATCAACTAGATAAGCATCCTGACCAAGTTTGATGATGATTGATGCAAAAATGTGACCGCTAGAGTGTTAACAAGGTTTTTCTATTTTTAGCTCCGGTGACCTACTTTTTCATTCGAGATGACCCATGTTCGAACTCATCCGAAATATCACCTAGACAAGCATCTTGACCAAGTTTGATGATGATTGATGCAAAAATGTGACCGCTAGAGTGTTAACAAGGTTTTTTCTATTTTTAGCTCCGGTGACCTACTTTTTCATCCGAGATGACCCATGTTCGAACTCATCCGAGCTATCAACTAGATAAGCATCCTGACCAAGTTTGATGATGATTGATGCAAAAATGTGACCGCTAGAGTGTTAACAAGGTTTTTCTATTTTTAGCTCCGGTGACCTACTTTTTCATTCGAGATGACCCATGTTCGAACTCATCCGAGCTATCACCTAGACAAGCATCTTGACCAAGTTTGATGATGATTGATGCAAAAATGTGACCGCTAGAGTGTTAACAAGGTTTTTCTATTTTTAGCTCCGGTGACCTACTTTTTCATCCGAGATGACCCATGTTCGAGCTCATCCGAGCTATCACCTAGACAAACATCCTGACCAAGTTTGATGATGATTGAGGCAAAAATGTGACCTCTAGAGTGTTAACAAGGTTTTTCTATTTTTAGCTCTTGTGACCTAGTTTCTCATCCGAGATGACCCATGTTCGAACTCATCCGAGCTATCAACTAGATAAGCATCCTGACCAAGTTTGATGATGATTGAGGCAAAAATGTGACCGCTAGAGTGTTAACAACTAAATGTGAACGGACGACGGACAATCATCGATCCTAAAAGCTCACCCTGAGCATGCTCAGGTGAGCTAAAAAGTTAAGCAGATGGCCAACTGCCCCAATAACCTGTTCAAAACCCTTTTTTTAACTGTTTTGAATGCCTCAAAGGATACAATTAGCTTCATTTGGCTGCAGGGGAGATAACAACTTGTATAGGTCTCCAGCATATTGTCAGTCTAGCCCCCTGACCAAACTTTAAAGCATTGGTTGTCTTTTGATATTGAAAGCCCTTATAACAAAATTAGACAATTCCAACTTTACAAGCAAGACAAGTCGTTGAACAAATTTAGTAATAAAAGGGTAAAAAAATGATTAATTACATTGAATTATATACTACATATAATTTAAGACATGGCCACCAATAATAATTTTTAACAGGACATGCAAATTTTAATATTCGGGCAAAATGACACTACCAGAGTGTCAGATTTATTACTATTGTCTCCTCAAAATTAGGATACTAGTATACATAAAAAAAGAAAAAAGATTTAAACTACCTGGAGTTTGGTGATTTAAGGGCTTTGGTCCTGGTTTAGGTGGTGTTGTAGGCTTGCTAGAAGAGCCAGGCTTTGGAGGCACAGTTGGTTTATGGCTGGGTACCGGAGGAGGTGTCAATGGGGTCTTGAAGCTTGAACCATCAACCTCATCTTTGGAATGACTGTGAGAACTTGAATGAGACACTGACGATGTAAATGATGATGAGACTGACAACTTTTTCCCTAGAGAAGTAGAATGTTCCGTCTCTGTTACTAAACTAGTAGATGTTGAGGTCTGTTTGATGTCAGTTTGGGATGTCACTGACAACTTTTTGCCTACTGATGGAGATTTTGAAGACTGAGATATGGATGAGGATACAGATGATATCACAGATAATTTCCTCCCAGATAACGGAGAACTGGAGTCGATGGAGATTTGCTGGAGATTGTCTTTGTGGAATGCTGGTGGAGATCGGCTGCTGTCACGTTCTCCTGGTCTGTTACAATCCTTGGATAGACCAGAAGCCTCATCTGATGGGGAATGTTTTCCAGCAGTTATTGGTAACGACAATACTTCCCTGTAATTATATAAAGGAAAAATAATTAAGGTTTTAATTTCATTATTACAAGCCTGTAATTGGTGAAGAAAATAGTTCTGTTAAATCAAAACTTATTAATTCTATAAAAGACAGTACTGGAACAATGAAAAGATATTTAATTCCCCAGTGAAGAAAACACACCATTTTTGTCAGTCCATCAGTCTGTCTGTCTGCTAATATTTGCATAAATCACATTTTTATCATCACCAGACAGTATTTAAGTCTGAAGATTTGACCACTGTAATGCTAATGTGTTCATTTTGTCAATACTTCTTTCCATTAATGGACACGGACTTTCACCTACTACAAGGTAATAAATGAGAAATTTTGTAACTTTTCGTTCTACAATATCAGTTACAGCTGCAGTAAAACACGTATTTACATTCTGTTTATTTTATACCAATTATAGAACTGAATTTGTGGAACATATGAACAAATTCATCATGTAATAGTTAACACTTTGTTTATATTAATTCTTTATGTAGTTTAAAGACAGGAGGTCAGCCTGCACATTGTTGTCTCAATACCAAAACTGGCTGCCTACATTTAGCACTCTTAATCCAAAATCTTTCATATTAATAATGTCTTGATCAAATATGAAAGAAGAAATTAACTGTATAAGGTCAGATAAAGAAGGGTTAAATTGTAAATTTAATGTATTTTACATTCTGTTTATTTTATACCAATTATAGAACTGAATTTGTGGAACATATGAACAAATTCATCATGTAATAGTTAACACTTTGTTTATGTTAATTCTTTATGTAGTTTAAAGACAGGAGGTCAGCCTGCACATTGTTGTCTCAATACCAAAACTGGCTGCCTACATTTAGCACTCTTAATCCAAAATCTTTCATATTAATAATGTCTTGATCAAATATGAAAGAAAAAATTAACTGTATAAGGTCAGATAAAGAAGGGTTAAATTATAAAATACAAATTTTAAATCAGCTCTAAATATAGCAATTTGAAAAATCTATAAATTAAAAAAAACTTCAAAATCCTTGTTTACCTAAGAAATGCCTCTTATGCACAAATCCCCACAATTCTGTACAATATTACCTAGGTCATAATCAGCACTGATAATGTAATTACTTCAGAATTACTCAAGGTACCTTTGGTTTCCTATTGATCATTCTTAGAGCAACAATGTCAAAAACAGGTTTAAACCTGATTTGTCATAGAAAGTCGTTGTTTCCTTTAACTCATTGCTAAGTACTGGTTGGTTCCAGGAACAGAGTGTGCCAAAAGCTTCTAGCTTCCTACACAATCAAACTTAAATAAATTCTGTATAAACCAATAATTTTACTTAATTTATTTTCAAAAACATTGTTTTGATTTCAAGCATTAAGAATGATTTAACCATCCCAGTTTGAAGCCTTGAAAGGATGCTGTTTACAAAATATATTCAGCCTTTACTAAATGGAACAAAACATATATCTCGGAACTGTAAAATGAAATATTGCAACAGATTTTCTGTATCCACTCAATGTTTGATTTATGACCATTGAAATGCCAAAAACAATTTCAGTTCATCATTTAACAAGAAAACACCCCAGCATACCTGTAGTGTGTAAACTACTTGAGCTGATGGAGTTATGACATGCAGGTGTAACAGAAAAGTTATTAAACACAAAGTTATGTTTAAAGAAGACAATCTTATCACATTTCTTCAAGCTTTCAAAACCATTAAAATGATAATAAAATTTGTGAGATTATTCAAGTTTTTTTTTTTATAAAGGTAATAATATCATGATAAGAATGGACATATGCATTGCTCACATCTTACACAATCATTACACTACATTTTTGCATCACATTTACATCTTTACATCAAATTTACATCTTTACATCACATTTACATCTTTACATCACATTTACATCTTTAAATCTGCATTAGCCTGCTCTATTTGCTCTTTCAGGGATTTCAATCACAAAACACAAACAATATTTGAACTAGCAACCATATAAGGATTGTAATTTTCACCGCAAAAACCACCATTTCCACAGTTTTCCTTGGTATTCATTTTATGTTGTGGTATATTTTAATAGTTACCTGTTGGTATAACACAATTTGGAATCTCTCTATTGGTTTTAATTTTACATTTAAAATGCAGGAACTGTGTTTGTCATTTGCAAAAAAAAATAATTTAATAAATAAAGAGGATATATAAACTAGGGAAAACCAGACAAGGCAATATTTGAAGAATAATGTTTTACATTATGAACATAGATAGTACAATAACTAGATTGAGTCAGTTTAAAGTGCATCATGGCAAGCCAGCGCAATTGTCCCTCAAATAATCCAGAAAGAACAAATTATCCTGAGAGAAAGCACAGTGGATCAGGCATCATACCTAAGGCAGTCTGTCTTTTTGGCTTCATCCTGGCAACATGATTAAGAAGCATAGCTTATCGCTTCCCAGATAGATACCCTATTTGCTAACTGATAAGTATGTTTTGAGAGCCTGGCCTAAAATTGTTGCAACTGTACAAGACTGATTATGTTTTACTACAACCTCCTTACTTACCCGACCTTGCCCACTGTCCTCAAATAAAAAACATTCTTTCAGGAATCACAATATTCACAGAGTCATTCATTTTCAAAAACCTCAAGACTATACCTAAACAAGACTATACCATAATTGGATAAAGGTTTAAAACTTTGCACAAGGGTGAATAATCCTATAATAGGAAATAAATATATCTCTTGTGCTTGTGTTATTTTGTGTTTTACAGACAAAGTTTCAAAACGATCCTCAGGATTGAGCCTGTTCAAATTATGCATAATATGCAGACTGACCAGTGGTTTTATACACTGGTGGTAAGGGCTAATCATATTTAGATCAAGCAGGTTAAAGGTAAAGATGCAAAGCTGATATTTAACTGAAAATTTAAATATATCACTGATAATCAGTTAACAATTTTGCTGCATCTTTGTCATGCTAAAACGCAATTTACTTCTTGTGAATGAAAAAAAAATGTATACAACTCCACACTGAAACTCCTTCAACCTCTTGAAGTAAACAAAAGCTGTCTGACAAGAACAAGCACAGATCCACTTTTCTCAGAACCTTACACAATGTAGCAAAGTAGAAATCAAATCATTTTGATAGTGACCAAGTATTCCAAGTTTAAAGTGAATATTTTAGACAGATATTTACCTTAACAAAAAGGTTAACCAGGGCAAAACACCCAAGTTAAAAAGGGAATATAACCTTGCAAAATATGATCTCTCCATGTGAGCATCATTACAATAAACCAAGTTTGCAGTGAAAAGATTCCATAGTTTCTGAGAATATGGACACTAACTTATTACCTATTACAGGTCACAGTGACATTGACCTTGTGACCGACAAGTGGTTCATAACAATACTTCCAGCTTTTTTCTTCGAAAAGCGAAAGTAAAAAGGTAAACAAAACACTGAAATATCAGCATAAAATACATGTTTCTGTCTTCTCAAAACTTTTTTTTTTTCTTTTTACTTAGTTTCCTTATTTACAGAACACATCTCACCCATTATTTTCAAGAGCATGCAAAACTGCTATTATCCCACTATCAATTTCAATGGAAAGACATGGTTGTTATTTGTTTAATGTTGGCGTATTCCCCCCAATGTTCATCATTGATTATCAATAAATAACATTAAAGTCATCCGTCTTCTTCCTGCCAATAAAAGCCGAAAGTTTAAAGCAGACAAAATGGTTACAAGCCATGTTGATACACCAATGAAGACAGGTTAAGACCCCAGAATTTGTATGATTGAAATACCCACATCTTCTCTAGATCATAAGTTAAGCTTGTTTGATGAAATGATTACACACAGGCGTAACACCAGCAAGTTTTTTCTTGCTAAAATATTGAAGGATTGTGGTTGCAAAACATAATTTGTGAGTTGGTTGAAACTGATTAAAGATGTTTTGTGATAGAAGCTTTCAAATTCATTTTTTTTAAGTTATGATTTATTCAGAATGCTAGGTTAAGTAATATACAAAATAAAAATTGATCCGCTGACAGTAAAGTGACAAGTGAAAACACAAATGAACTGCAGGGCTGGCCTTGGTGATATATATAACTTTTTTTCAAGTTCAGTCTCAAATCTCAGGATTTTCATTGGTCAATGTACATTCTAGGCTGGTTTCTAATCAATCAAATAATGTAGATCTGAGTTTGAGCTTAGAAAATGTCTTTATAACCTTGGACCATGGACAAGCTTTATATTGGTTAACATAAACTCTGTCAATATTGGGATAATGTAAGATGATCATACTCCAGTTCCAGCTGTTAAATGCAAATAGAAAAACATGAGATTTTCGTCAAATGAAAGAAATTAGCCAAATCCCTTATATTTTTGTGTCTGAAATCCTAGCAAACCCAAACATGAGCTTTATGTACCATTGAAACACACATTTTTTTCCATTTCCAAAGGCAAAAATCAAGCTACAAAATGTACTTCATTGCCAGTTATAGCAAAAATAAAGCAAAAATTTTTTTTACCTTCAGTCATGGTCAGTAATACTGACAAATACTCACTAAAAGTGCTTTGACAATTCCAATAACAACAGCCAGATAGGGGAAAAGTAAGAAAAGCCTTTTTATGACCTTGACCCAAAAGAAATGAACTTCAAACCAAAGGTAGATTAAATATATGAAAAAGGGCATTTTAAAAGGGTAAATAAATGTTCTGAAAAGATGGATAATGGGTACTCTGGTGACTACTCTATTTTTTTTACACATTGTTTTTAGAATAATTTTAATCACATAAGAGCAACACAATGAAAGATTTACAGTGACTTGTTTTAGAAGTAAACTTAGCATCCATTTGCAAGAAAAGATGGTCAAGTCTAGAACAGAGAGCTAATGCTTTTAAAGCATAAAAAAGTAATCCATAGAGATTTTCTGACAAAAAGAGATTGGAAATATTTTTTTCAAGATTTCCTATTCCATCAAATTGCATGCAAAGCTCAAAACATTCGCTCACTCCATTTTTCCATAATAACAATTTGTTATGCAAAATGGCAAAAAAGCGCTTTTACATTGTATTTCCATTCATACAAGAAATAGAACTAAGAATTGATTTTCACTTTAATTTCATAGTATATTTCTTTATTATCTATTGCATATTTTTATGTTTAAAGTGCCCAAATTGATCTTAATGAAATAATTAACTTTTTTATGTTTTTATGCTTAGCAGAGCTCCTATAACCATGTCAAATGTGTTACTGGTAATTAATATTCTTTTGCGCATCATATTCAGCTAGAAACTATGCATTTATATAATTGTACTTTGAAAGATTGTCTAGTTGATTGTCTATCTGAGATAGCCTTATCAATTATTGACAGAAATTGTCACACATAGATTAATGAAGTCTTGACGCCAACATAGCTTCCTTTTCTCTGAGAAGATGAAAGACAACCGGACATTGCGGTGAATGAGGAAGTAGCAGTGAAAACATTACTCTCTCTTCAAGGAACCAGCAATAAAAGAAATGTTTAACCATTAACCAGGCCCAAAAAAATCAAACCAAGCTTGCAACATTTTTAACTGCCATGTTGGACTATGTTTTACTGTTTCACTGTTTTTACAAACTCACAACCTGCTAATATTGTGTAATTTATCCAATATTAACCTTAACCGCTAGGTCAGGGACACGCCCCAGACTCTTTTCAAATGGCTGATTGGATATATAAAAAAATCCCTACTTATCAAAATGGATATGCAGGACACATGTGTTTATCATGGCAAAGGTTAAGACAATGTAGTTCTTGCAATTCCTTATATACTCAACAGTTGTCTACACAAATAAATAGGGAAACCTAATCATTATTCATATCTTATCTTTATTTCTTTATATGAGGGATGATAATATGGGGGAGGGGGTAATAAAGACCAATCCTAAAACGAAAAATCCCATACAAGTCAGCCACAATTTTTTCTTTATATAAACCCTACAGGCTTAAATCAATCATCAATACCAGTACCATGTTTATCTGAACTGTCTCGTTTTTTAAAATTAACTCCACAATAAGACAATGAAACCTCTGTTCTTATACTGTCAAGATGCTGCAGACCTACCAAATTTATGTGCCAATAAAATAGAAAAGGAAAGACATAAAGACTGTCTCTGTATATGATAAATGCATAAAACCTATAATCTGCAATGGGATTACATATATACATATGATTTAGCCAATTCTGTAAGCAAATTCAGAAATAAGGCAGACAGCAATTTATTTTGATGACTGCCTTGGTTATTCCTAAGCATAACTCTTTCTTTGTCAACAAAATTTATTTCAAACCTTAACCTGCTGATTTTGTGTGATGTTTTAGCCTTGCTTTCAATTTGAAGCAGTCTGTTAAGGAGTTACAGATATAGAAATACAAAAATTAAGCTATCAACAGAAAAGGGCTTGCAATATTCTGGTAGTTTTAGTTCCAGTAAGTTAAAGGAACTCCATTCAAGTCCTAAAGCCTAAAAATATAAGATTTGTCAATTTCTTACAAATATCAGCATGTATTGCTTAAAACAGAATGATGTGTAAAAGAAAAATTAAGAAATATACACAAAAACAAGTTGAAAGTCGTATTTTGTGCTACTTTGAACCCAATTTGAGTTAAGAGCATTGCAACGCTTTTCAATTTCAGATAATTTTCCACAATTAGAATAATGCTGGAAAAAGGAGTGAGTGAATGATCTGAAATGTTGAAATTGAGTTATGGAACAGTAACCTCAAAAAATTATTTCCTTTCCCATTATGTAAAACAAGAGCGATCAGTAATCACATGTGTCGCCTCATAATGGCCAATTTCATGTTGGGACAAATTTTGTGACAGACGGACAGACAGACGGACAGTGCACAACTAGACTTGGTACTGATCAATCATGTAAAGTTTGGATAAAATTGCACCAGTAGCTTATGAGGAGTAGTCCGGACAAGCTTTTGCGTATCTGGCAACAGACAGAAAAAAAAACACCTTTTTATCAAAGGGCCATAACTCAGCCAAAAATCATTCAACCGGAAAACCCGTGCAATATGCGCAAGGACTTGAGCTACAGATCAATCCTGTAAAGTTTCATTGAAATTGCATTAGTGGTATAAGAGAAGTAGTCCGGACAAACTTTAAAAATAAAAATTATTAAAGGGCCATAACTCTGACAAAAATCAATGAACCGGAAAATGCTGACAATATGCACAACTAGACTTGGTACTGATCATTCCTGTAAAGTTTGGATGAAATTGCACCAGTAGTTTATGAGGAGTAGTCCAGACAAGCTATTGTGTATCTGGCAACACACAGAAAAAAACACCTTTTTATCAAACGGCCATAACTCGGCCAAAAATCATTCAACCGGAAAACCCTTGCAATATGCGCAAGGACTTGAGCTACAGATCAATCCTGTAAAGTTTCATTGAAATTGCATTAGTGGTATAAGAGAAGTAGTCCGGACAAACTTTAAAATTAAAAATTATTAAAGGGCCATAACTCTAACAAAAAACATTGAACCGGAAAATGCTGACAATATGCACAACTAGACTTGATACTGATCATTCCTGTAAAGTTTGGATGAAATTGCACCGGTAGTTTATGAGGGGTAGTCCGGACAAGTTTTGTGACGGACGGACAGACAGACAGACAGACAGACAGACAGACGGACAGACAGACGACGGAGAAGTGATCCCTATATGTCGCCACTACTCCGTAGAGGCGACACAAAAACCTTAGTTTAAGGTATTTTTTGATTGATGCCATCTCAAAGATCCAACAAATTCTTACACTAACATATTGGTAGCCAAATGGTTTATTGCAAGCTATGATCAGTTGAAACAAATAATCCAAAGCATATATTTAGCTTGACTATAAATAGTTTTGTATGATAATCCATTCATAATTACAAACTAACATTTAGATACATAATTAATGTAAATGAAACCAAGATTTCTAATGATGCAATTAAATATATGACAAGAATGGAATATTTGTTTTGCTTTACATAAAACAAAACAAGTTCCTCATCCATTACTTTAGTTTTCTTTTAATCAAGAGATTTTAATGGAACAGTTAAATGCACTGTCTGTCAAACATCATTCCTCATTTCCTCCATGCAGTTAAAGTGCCATTTCAAGTCAAGTCAAATTATTGAGTTTATAAAATCTAGTGTAATATATGTTACTGCGTACTGAAAGTTCGTTTTGTGATAATGACACACTATTGCATCAGTTTAGAAAATGACGAGTCTGCACTTCCTAGCAGTCTGATCAGAATCTATACTGTACCCTGATCAACTCGCTTAAAATTAACAATCAGCACCTACCAGTATGACAAGTTTATTTCATTATAAACCATTGAACATTAGCAGCATTACAAACTTGTCTATGCTAGAAGTCAGACTGTCCTGCTTATATTCAAACTCAGTCTTATGTGCAGACCAAGATTAGCAAGCACAATCAAGACTCAATGGAATCTAAACATTTGACTGATCCACTTTTTACCTTTACCCTGATAACCCTTTAACAACTGACAGCTCCAATTTTATTTTCATACTAGGGCAAGTTCAATATGTTATATGATTAATCCTCTTCAATTTCAATCTTTACCGTGCAAGTCTAGATCTATTACATAGATATTTTTTCCAGGCAAGGAAAGGGATCATGAACATGTATAACTTTTTGCAAAATTGTAAATTGCATTTTTATTATTTTAATATACCATACCCGTTTCCAACAGAGAGGTTTTCTGGATGTTTCAGCTCTTGTTTATGGTTAAGTACTTTTGTGCTTTTAACATATGACCCTTTAGATTCCTCCAGTAACTCTACAGCACTCTTTCGGTGATTTGCTGAAAAAAATAAAGATTTCATAATTACTTTCAAGCTCATACAAAAATATTTGGTTTTGGTAAAAACTATAAGGTATTATAAAATCATGTATAGACATATCAAGGGTTGAACACCAGTTTTAAGCTCTGCAAGCATTACAGCCCTGTTAAGTGCTGGTAGTAATGGTAAAAGACCTACGTGATGACCTCTTTGCTTGTAAAACAACATTGTTAAGCATGTTACATATATGTACATGAAACTAGCTACAGTAAATAACAGTGATGTCATGTTAAAACATACATAACGATCACTCAAAGGTATCTTCTATTTTTTTTATGTAAATTTAAGCAAAAAATCCCCTTGATAAACTAAACACAATGTAAACAAATAAAATTTAAGTATTTACATTGCACTTCCTGTTAGATAATACAAAATGTAAACTAGAACTATCACTAAATGTGATTAATACCCCCACAAGTCTGCTTCGGAAATGAGGATGTTACTAGTAACAGAATACCTTGTAAAAGAATTGAAACATAGAGTTATGGTTGTGGGCAATTAAAGATAATTGTGGTTCATGTATGTTGCATTTCCTTTCAATGTGGTTGGCCATTGATGAAGTTTAATTGAATTACTCTGTAATAAGTCCAGAAAGACAAAGAAAAAGAACAAAGGGCAATAACTCTATAAATACTGAAGATAGAGTTATAGTTCTTGTGCACTGCACTTCCTCTTATTGTGCTTGACCATTGTATGAAGTTGTTTTGAATTCCAACCAGTACGTTTTAAGTTATGCTCCCAACAAGGAAAAGTATCAAAGGGCAGTAACTCTGTATTTTGTCAAAATGGAGTTATGGCTCTTGTGCACTGCACTTCCTTTGAATGTCCTTGACAACTGTATGAAGTTGTACTGAATTCCAAATAGTAGTTTTCAAGTTATGCTCTGGACAAGGAAAAGTAACAAAGGGCAATAACTCTGTAATTAGTCAAGATGGAGTTATGGTTCTTGTGCACTGCACTTCCCCTTATTGTGCTTGACCATTGTATGAAGTTGTTTTGAATTCCAACCAGTAGTTTTCAAGTCATGCTCTGGACAAGGAAAAGTAACAAAGGGCAGTAACTCTGTAATTAGTCAAGATGGAGTTATGGTTCTTATGCACTGCACTTCCTCTCAATGTGCTTGACCATTGTATGAAGTTATAATGAATTCCAACAATAAGTCTTCAAGTTATGGTCCGGACAAAAGAAAGCAATGGAAAAGTAACAAAGGGCAATAACTCTGTAATTAGTAAAGATGGAGTTATGGTTCTTGTGCACTGCACTTCCCCTTATTGTGCTTGACCATTGTATGAAGTTGTTTTGAATTCCAACCAGTAGTTTTAAAGTCATGCTCTGGACAAGGAAAAGACACAAAGGGCAGTAACTCTGTAATAAGTCAAAATGGAGTTATGGTTCTTGTGCACTGCACTTCCTCTCAATGTGCTGGACCATTGTATGAAGTTATATTGAATTCCAACAATTAGTCTTCAAGTTATGGTCCGGACAAAAGAAAGCAATGAAAAAGTAATAAAGGGCAATAACTCTGTAATTACTTTAAATAGAGTTATGGTTCTTATGCACTGCACTTCCTCTCAATGTGCTTGACCATTGTATGCAGTTATATTGAATTCCAACCATTAGTCTTTAAGTAATGCTCCAGACAAAAAAAAGAAGGCAATTGAAAAGCAACAAAGGGCAATAACTCTGTAATTACTTTAGATAGAGTTATGGTTCTTGTGCACTGCACTTCCCCTTATTGTGTTTGACAATTGTATGAAGTTGTTTTGAATTCCAACCAGTAGTTTTCAAGTTATGCCATGGACAAGGAAAAGTAACAAAGGGCAATAACTCTGTAATTAGTCAAGATAGAGTTATGTTTCTTACGCACTGCACTTCCTCTCAATGTGCTTGATCATTGTATGTAGTTATATTGAATTCCAACCATTAGTCTTCAAGTTATGCTCCGGACAAGGAAAATGCAACGGACAAAAAAAAAAGCAATGGAAAAGTAACAAAGGGCAATAACTCTGTAATTACTTTAGATAGAGTTATGGTTCTTGTGCACTGCACTTCCCCTTATTGTGTTTGACAATTGTATGAAGTTGTTTTGAATTCCAACCAGTAGTTTTCAAGTTATGCCCTGGACAAGGAAAAGTAACAAAGGGCAATAACTCTGTATTTAGTCAAGATAGAGTTATGGTTCTTGTGCACTGCACTTCCTCTCAATGTGCTTGACCATTGTATGTAGTTATATTGAATTCCAACCATTAGTTTTCAAGTTATGCTCCGGACAAGGAAAATGCAACGGACGTCTGGACCGCCCGACCGACCGCCCGACCGACCAACCGACCGACCGACCGACCGACCACCGGGTGACTCCTATATACCCCCCCAAACTTCGTTTTTGGGGGTATAAAAACACAACTTAAATCATAAAAAAAATGTTTCATAAAACCTGACATAATACCATGACTAATCTAGTCAGACAGGAAGGGGAAGATTTCAGATGTATCTAAATGCATGATTTCAGGCGCAATTATGTGCACCTGAGTAGAACCCTTGATCTGTAAGCAAGCTGGACAACTTCCTTGCAATAGAGAATCTAGAGTCCTTTACCAGATTCAAACCCACAGAAGTAAGGGGCATGTTATTGTCGTAAAAATAATATTGAATCCTAAACATGCCTGATTCAATTATAACACAACTAAGTCTAGAGTAAGAGACAGTTAATAATAATAATATAATTTATTAATTAAATAGCCTTTAAATATCAATTCTGATATGGCATATTTATGGTTCAAATTCTAATTACATCACTTTATGTTCCATATTAATCTGTTTCCTCTCCAGCTTGACAGCTTAAATTTACAGACACATATATAGGAAATCAAGTTTAACTGGTGAAGTATGACTAATCTATTTTCTCTATCTCTATTGTTCATTAACTGATGTCTATACTTGTACATGATTTGTATACACATGTACATTTAATTGTCTACCTAATTATTTTTTCATATTGTGACATTATCAAGTTGTTGTTGTTTTTTCAATTACTGATCAAAAACAAAATAAGACATTGATGTTTTATAGATCAATACTCAACAATATATCACTATTGATTGACCAAGTCATTGCACACACATTTCAATACTGTCATATGATGTAATACCTAATCAATAGAACTTTCATGCTATAACAAAATCTGTGCAAATTATTTCCAAATCCTTATGACTTATAACTTCATGTTTATTCAAGGAACTCAACTGAGGTTTAAAAGCCTTAAAACATAAAAATTCAATTTCTTACACAGATCAGCTGGGGCACTTAAACAAGAAAGATATGCAAAATATAATAAAGAAATACATAAAGAAATAAATTGAAAATTGTATTTCTCTGCTATTCTATTTCAGTGAAAATCATTCCAATGCTTTTCAATCTGGGTCATTTTTGTCACATTTACAATAATTATTCTGGAAAAACGGAGTGAGTGAATGATCTGAAAGTTTGAACTTTAAGACTTTCATCAAATGGAACATTATGAAAGTTTGAACTTTAAGACTTTCATCAAATGGAACATTATGATCTGAAAGTTTGAACTCTAAGACTTTCATCAAATGGAACATTATGATCTGAAAGTTTGAACTCTAAGACTTTCATCAAATGGAACATTATGATCTGAAAGTTTGAACTCTAAGACTTTCATCAAATGGAACATTATGATCTGAAAGTTTGAACTCTAAGACTTTCATCGAATGGAACATTACGATCTGAAAGTTTGAACTCTAAAACTTTCATCAAATGGAGCATTATGATCTGAAAGTTTGAACTCTTAGACTTTCATCAAATGGAACATTATGATCTGAAAGTTTGAACTCTAAGACTTTCATCGAATGGAACATTACGATCTGAAAGTTTGAACTCTAAGACTTTCATCAAATGGAACATTATGATCTGAAAGTTTGAACTCTAAGACTTTCATCAAATGGAACATTAATCTTGAAATATTATTTCTAGTCCTGTCATGTCGGAAAAAACTGCAGTGGAGTCCCTTTAAATTAAATCCATTCATAGAATATATCTATGTACCTGTATATCCAACAAAGGAAATAGAATAAAGATAAAATCCTGTTTATAAACAAGATGTTTATAAACAAGAGCAACCTTCAGATATAAAAATCTCCTTTCAAAAAAAAAAAAAAAAAAAAAAAAAAAAAAAAAATACTGAAAAAAATCCACACAAAAAAATTAACTTCAGGCATATAAATGTATTTATATATATTCCTTACCAGAGAGATACAGAATAAATTCATACCACAAGAAGATACGAATGTACTTAAAATATCATCCTGTTAATTAATTAAACTATACGCCTTTCTCCTTTATGTTAGCCTCAAGGATAATACATAAATGTTAAGACTGAGTCACTAAAATCACTGTTCAAATAATCAAACACACATGTAATAATGTCAACAAACTTTACAAAAGCAATAACAAAATCTTCAAAAGCCACTTGTGTGATTTAGAGAAATGTCAAAAGCATAATTTCTGACGTAATTTGAATTTTATCGCCAAGTTATTTCATTTCATTTACCAATTTTTTTTCGATTTGTAAAACATTGATAAAATTTCTTACAAGATCCTATAAATAGCTTTCTTTTGAATTACAAATGCTTTTACAATGTATATAAAATAAGAGAAAGAATCACATATACATTTCTATACTTACTGGATACTTTAAAAAATGATTTTTAAAGAAGGCAAGAGGTGGCTTAGTGGTTAAGGTGTCTGCCTCTCAATTCAGGGATCATAGGTTGGAGCCCTTAATCAGGTCACGACCATGTTTCTTCATATGACACCAGTACTGATTGGTTCCAGAAAGTGGACATGAAAGTGATTAATATATACAAGTTGCAAGAACTTGTTTTGCAATCAAGCTTAAATTAATATGTTTAGACAAAACCAAAGAAGGGGTTTTTAAAATTATTAATGAAAATAAGACAAATCAATCAGTCTTTACCAACAAAGGTCCAAACACTTTCAATACATATATTTTCAGTCAATTATAAATAATCACAATCTATAATAAATCCAGCTAAACTAAATATGAAAATTAAATTTCAATTATTTGTTATGCAAGCATCCACCTTTATTGCATAAAAATCAATATACATGTATTAAATTTAAGGAGACACAAAGATGATGGTATTTTAATTGAAATGACTTTGACTACATTTATATCACACCATGATGTCTATTATGCATATAAAGGCTCCATAATGCCTCAATATCTGTCATTATTGAAATCATGTTAAATTTTACAGAGCTACATTAATAATACATCAATGTTAAATAAATAATTAACAGGAAAATGTAACTTGAAACTGTACAGAGTTAAAACAGAAACTAATATATGAAAATAAGAACTTGTCATTTTCCTTATAAATTAGATTTTTACTCAAAAGTCCACTTGTTAATATCTTAAATGGACTTGTGCGATTTTTCAACTTGAACAAAATTATTTATCATTTTTAGGGAAAATTTCAAAATAAGCATTGACTGAATAGTGAACAGTGCAGACCATGATTTTGAACTGCCCTAGTCACATTAACAGGCCAAGACAGTGTTGATCAAACTCCATTCAACCATAACAATATTTCACAAGAAGTGCCGCAATGCGACGAAAACCAGGTTTTCAACGACCAAGTTTTGATGTGACAGCAATCAATAGGTCAAAGTGCACTGAAGTTATTGAGTAGAAGCTGAAAATTATATTGTAAGCAAATGACCTTGAACTTGCTCCCAGATATGTAAGTGGTAATCCAAAGCTGCCACTCAGCAAGTTTGGTGAAAGGTCAAAGCAAACTCAAGTTATAACATGAAAACTAAATACATTAACCTTGATCACAGACACATGGGTAGCAATCCCAAGCTGCCTCTTGATATAAGCTTCCCATTCATCAAGTTTGGTGTCAATAGGCCAAAGCAAACTCAAGTTATTGAGCGGAAACTGAAATTCTATTTTTAGTAACAGTGACCTTGACCTTGATCACAGACACCTGGATAGCAATCCCAAGCTGCCTCTTGATATATGCCATCCATACACCAAGTTTGGTGTCAATAAGTCAAAGCAAACTCAAGTTATTGAGCGGAAACTGAATTTCTATTTTTAGTAACAGTGACCTTGACCTTGATCACAGACACCTGGGTAGCAATCCCAAGCTGCCTCTTGATATAAGCTACCTACACACCAAGTTTGGTGCCAATAGGCCAAAGCAAACTCAAGTTATTGACCGGAAACCAAAAGTTGACGCCCGGCCGCCCACCCGCCCGCCGACTTCGGCATTACAATAACCCGGTTTTCGTTGAAAACCTGGTTAACAAGCAAGGATCTTATAGGACCCACCTCTTAAAGTATGAAAGATAACTTCCTCAACATTCCAAGAGGAATTCAATCCCACATCAGTGTTTCAAATCAGGGATTTTATCATTTTAACCTATCAGTTCCCTTGTATAAAATAACTTTTACCTATCAGTTCCCTAGTATAAAATAACTTTAACATATCAGTTCCCTTGTATAAAATGACTTTTACATATCTTATGATTTTAACATATCTGTTCCCTTGTATAAAATAACTTTTACCTATCAGTTCCCGTGTATAAAATAACTTTAACATATCTGTTCCCTTGTATAAAAGAACTTTAACCTATTAGTTTCCTTGTATAAAATAACTTTTACCTATCAGTTCCCTTGTATAAAATAAATTAAACCTATCAGTTCCCTTGTATAAAATTACTTAAACATATCTGTTCCCTTGTATAAAATAACTTTAACCTATCAGTTCCCTTGTATAAAATAAATTAAACCTATCAGTTCCCTTGTATAAAATTACTTAAACATATCTGTTCCCTTGTATAAAATAACTTTAACCTATCAGTTCCCTTGTATAAAATAACTTTAACATATCTGTTCCCTTGTATAAAATAACTTTAACCTATCAGTTCCCTTGTATAAAATAACTTTCAAACCCAATTCAACCTTTCCTTATCAAAACAACCTCATTTACCCCAATTTCTATTCAAATAAAACTTAGGAAATAGTTTCATAATGATGAAATTCAGGAGCAGCAAAATGATTGATGGTTTAGATATAATCTGAAAGTCTGATAAAATATTGATTAGTCTCTATATTCAGTGTATTTTTTCAGTCAGTCTTTATTTGAAATTCATCCCTCACAATCTGGTTCACAGGGGAAAACAGAAATTAATCGAAATAAAGAATCAATGTTATCAATTAAATGAAAGGCCAACTGGATTATATAATAATAAATAACAACTTTATTGTATTTAATGTTTTCATTTATCAGAGAGTAATAAGATTAAACAGTCTTAATCAATTTTTGTGAGAAATCTATACTGACTTATCAAGTAAATGTGTTTGTCAATGACCTTTGACTGTGACCTTATAAATCGTGACCCTAAACATGCACATTGCATATTAGATAGTGCAATAAACAATTGTAATTTAGTCTCCATTAAATTAATATTGAATAAATTACAATTCATTTTGAATAAATTACCTGATATGAAGGGAATTTAAAGAAGACTAAGTAAAAATCAATGTAATTGTGTGTGTGACCTTGACATACAGAAAAAAATTGACCTTGCAAGGTTGCACCTTTTAAATCTTTGATCTCTGAAAACAGTTTAATTGAATTTCTCCTATAAAAAAGGCTATGATCATTTAAATGTAATAGATCAAACATAATGTATTCCTATCATGAAACAAACAGACAATTTTACAAAACTAACAAAAGCAGACGGCATATAGACAGGGTGATGACTACATGCTGCTGCGTTTGGAACATGTTGCCAGCACGCATCGCAAGTGATTAATATTTAACAATATAAGTAGCAATTTAAGACAATTACTTTACCAATTACCGTAATTCTGTAGAATTTCATGGAACTGGTACGAAATAAAGTAATGAATTATTTAGAAGACCTGTCATCAGACTGCAATATTGTTGTAGGTCTCACAGCCAAAACTAATTAGAACTGTGGAAAGTTTCTAATAAAAACAGCAAGCGCAATTCTTACTTGACATGCTACTGGGAAAAGCAACATTTACAGGTCTTTTGTAACAATTTCTATACAATATCAGGAAGCCCTGCTTATGTTATCATCATAATATTGATACATTGTTCAAACTAATTAAAGTGACATTACGCCCATCCAAGAGTTAATGGTAAATGTTCAGGTAAAATTAAAGTAACTTTACATTTAGTCATATTTGTTTTTCAATTTTATAATAAACGTCACCTGAGTGATCAATAACCCTCGTGACCCACACAAATGTCTATAAATATCCTTCAGAAATTATCGGTAATGTCCAATTTATAGAAAGAGCAGGACAGACTTTTTGTATTTTCGGCAGCTTTATTTTATTTTTTTTATTTTATCCTAAATATTTGTAATTATCAGTTATTGTTCGATCGCTATTAAAAAAGTAAATCTTTTTACATACACAACAACCTTATCTCAGCTTGACAGAGAAAAAATTAGCATAATGCCATTTTAAGCTGTATATTAAAACATAATTAATGTAATGTATTTCTCATTATTGGCCATGCAGACTAACAGAAAAAAAAATGGAAAATTGGAACTATTTTCTAAACAACTCCTACAAAACATTTTACAGAAAGAAAGAAGGTGTTTAAAGAAATAGAAAATATAAAAATACAGTCATGTTATCTTATGCTATTTTGTCCTATTATTCTTCACTTGTAGGTAATGGAATTATGCCTTTGAATCTTACATAACTATGTCCTGTAACAAAATAGTTTGAAATCAACATTTTGAACAAAATAAAATAGCCAATTATAAGCAGGAAACATAAAGATTTATTGTTTAACATATCAGAGAATTCTTAAATCTACATCCATTGATAGAGTAATCATACATCCTATTTTTTGTTTATTCAATTTAAATTTCAAAATCAGCAAAAATTCAAATTACCTCTTTAAAATTCCATCATTTTCCGAGAAGAAATCTTTATTTCTCTATATATCCGGAATAAATAAATTTCCATCAGAAGTAGATTTCACCTGTAGATGGGAGATAACTTATGAAGATAAATGTTGCAATTTGTTTCAATCCCTCTCTAAAAGAATTAAGATCCATCAAATTTCGTTTGAAGAGAAACACAGGCTAGATTAGTGCTGACTCAAGAAAAGATATACTGTGGGAGAGCATCTAGAAACCATCGGGAAATATTCTTCCTCCACTCGTTTATCTGTTTTAACTGCAGTTATTCAACTAGCGGAGATATCAGAAACCATTCAATAGATTATCTATAGACATAAGGCAACTGCTTAGCTTCCAATTTTCAAAGTTTGCAAAATTAATATTTGCTGAGAGAAGCTATAGATGACCTTTAATGACTACAATACATCCTATATAAACAGTCACAATGTCATTGTGTTTATCCCTAAGCTGGTGACACGTTTCAGAGATATAAAAATGCCATTTAGCATATTAAACTTCATTATCATTCCTTTCCAACAAAACATTTGACCTTTAAACAGCTAACATGTGTTTTAAATTGCAATGTCAATAATCTGAAAAATATGTATCCTAACTTATGTCACAGGATGAGAAAAATAATAAGCCTTTATTATGTTACAGGATAAGAAAAATATGTAGCCTTACTTATATGTTACAGGATGAGAAAAATGTGTAGCCTTACTTGTGTCACAGGATGAGAAAAATATGTAGCCTTACTTGTGTCACAGGATGAGAAAAATATGTATCCTTACTTGTGTCACAGGATGAGAAAAATATGTAGCCTTACTTATATGTTACAGGATGAGAAAAATATGTAGCCTTACTTGTGTCACAGGATGTGAAAAATATGTAGCCTTACTTGTGTCACAGGATGTGAAAAATATGTAGCCTTACTTATATGTTACAGGATGAGAAAAATATGTAGCCTTACTTGTGTCACAGGATGAGTAAAATATGTAGCCTTACTTATATGTTACAGGATGAGTAAAATATGTAGCCTTACTTCTGTCACAGGATGAGAAAAATATGTAGCCTTACTTATATGTCACAGGATGAGAAAAATATGTAGCCTTACTTATATGTTACAGGATGAGAAAAATATGTAGCCTTACTTGTGTCACAGGATGAGTAAAATATGTAGCCTTACTTCTGTCACAGGATGAGTAAAATATGTAGCCTTAATTATGTTACAGGATGAGTAAAATATGTAGCCTTAATTATGTTACAGGATGAGTAAAATATGTAGCCTTAATTATGTTACAGGATGAGAAAAATATGTAGCCTTAATTATGTTACAGGATGAGAAAAATATGTAGCCTTAATTATGTTACAGGATGAGAAAAATATGTAGCCTTACTTGTGTCACAGGATGAGAAAAATATGTAACTCACACCTATGACCATCTTTTTACCATTCTGCAGCTCCACTGACTGAGCTACCTGAGCAGGATCAGGCAGCATTATACATCTCCTCCCCTGATCATATCTGAAACCATGACATAACCCCCCCCACTCCTCACCCCCTGCTATAGTGATGAAAAGAGAAAAATTTAGCTATATATGATGACACCGCAGAAAAAAGATATGCAGAAATCTAAAACCCCTTATTTTAACAAAAATAGCATAATATTAAGCCCGCAGAAATAAGTACTTATATGGTACATGTATAAGATGAAAGTTATATTCATGCTTTAAATTTATAATTATACTAACCTATTCCTTATGAGTTATAAACTGACCCTATAAATTTCATGTATTGCAATATATATCACAAAAATTACACAAAAAGCACAGTTTCTTCTATATAGACAAATGTTAAAGTATAAACTCCAGCTTTGCAATAAAATCAATTTAAAACTGAATAATGACATTAATCCTTTCAGCAGGCAACATAAACTCTGTAATATTATGCTCTCCTGGATACGTTTTTTGGTGGAGACCTCTCATAAATACAATATTTACATGAAGCTAGTGAAGCTGAAAGAGTGAGACATGACAATATTATAGGTTCAATACAATAATGGCATACCACCATGAACTCACAATGAAAATTAAGGCAACTGTTGCAACAAAAATAAACCCAAACAAGTTGATGTCAAAATGTTTTTGTTTGATTGGATTTTACGTCACAACGACACAGTATAGGTCATATCGTGACGTTCCAGCTTTACTGGTGGAGAAAGACCTCAGGTGCCCCTCTGTGCATTATTTCAGGCACGAACAGGCACCTGAGTAGAACCACCGACGTTCCGTAAGCTAGCTGGATAGTTTCCTCACATGAAAGAATCCAAGTCCCTGTCGGGATTCAAACCCACAGCGATGAGGGGCAAGTGGTTTGAAGTCAACGACCTTAACCACTCTGCCACAGATGCCTAATGTATCACATACACTATTACCCTTGGAACCATTTTATCATTTCACCTTCAACGGTTTTGAAATATAACATATTCTTGAAGACATGTCACAGACAATAAATTCTGCAGCTATGCATTTTCCCTATAATCAAATCTTAGATAAAACTCCCACCCTGTAAAAGTCCATTAATCCAGTTGTCTGATTGCATTGATTTTTCCTGTTAAAACACTTCCATAAAAAGAGTACCTGTAAATTTGTTTTTTTTTCCTTTTGACAAACAAGAGAGTAATCATGAACAAATCTTTAAACTAGACAAGAACAAATAATTGCTGATAAGGTTTCAGACTTCAAATCAATACATGTGTAACTATACTTTTTTCAATCCAGTAAAGAAACACCCTTTCTCTAAACAAAAACATCAAATAAAAACACTCACAAACATTCCAAAATCATTAAAATTCAATTCACTGTCTCACCCAAATCTGTGTTAAGGGATGAAATGAATCCTAGAAATTCAAACTTTTAATATAAACTAAATTGGAATTTTATTTGTTAAAAAAGGATAAGATTTCACAATCAAAATGAAGTTATTTAATCCCTGGAAAACAAATTGGGCGTAAAATAACAATATCATTGTATCCTAGTCCTGTATCTAAATAAATAATAATTTAAAGATAGCAGTGCACCACACTAACACAAACATAAAATTCTCTATACCTGTAATGTGCGTAATGGACTTGCCCAGCCTTAAGTTTGGAACAGACCATTCAAAGTTTTAGGGATTTCAATATCAAAATACAATTATTGAGCTACTGATAAAACAGAGCCTCGTCAGACTTCACAAAAAGTGCGGGCTAGTCCGGCTCTATACTGGTAGCAATGACTAAGCACTTTCAGTTTCAGCAGGTAAAGGGTTAAATTACTATATTTATCTTCTTATCTAAAATGCTATGATCATGATGAACATAATAAAATGTGAAACATATAATTATACACTAATACAACATATATCTTGTAAAACAAAAAGTGTTCTGAATGGTTAATTTTTTTTTTACATCAACAATTTTCTTGTTATTCTTCTTTTGGTTATTTTTTATTGTTTATTTTGATTATTTCATCAAAACTTTTAGTATTTTACTTAAATTTGAATTGAAAGTTTAATATTCTAGACATGTTTTAGACAATATACCTTAAAACTCATAAATCATTTTCATCTTTGAGAAAAGTAACTAATCAAAAAAAAATTTGTGATTAATTTTCACCCTGATGAGAATTCAATAAATTACAGCATAGACTGTATTGCTACAGAAATCTAGCATTCTACAATAAACAGTTAATATGGCAACCTTAATCACCTCATCAAAAACAGTGATTGAAACCTGATAAATTTAATAAAGATTACAGCTGATTTCCCCAGAGAGTAATTAATCATTACCCGATATGAACCATTCAAGGGAAACAACTTACTCACCCAATAAAATAATACA